ATAAGTAAATAAAAGTGGCAGTGCGTAAGTTTATGTGCTCAAGGGCTTGAATGGTAGAATTGATCATGAGGACAGAAAATCGGAAACAAACTAAATATCTAGTAATAGGGAGTGAAGAAGAAATGATAGTAAATACTCCCCATAGGGTAATAGGCATAGCTGGGGGCCCAGGAAATCTCGTATCTTCCTTTTTATAAAAATCATATTTATTACTGTTTCACTTTATAGGTTTGCTATATTGAAATGTAAGTTCCATGACAGCAGGAACCTTTCCTGTGTAGCTGTAATAAATGCCTAGCTCAGTGCTGGGAATGTAGTTTAGTGCTTAATAAGTGTTTATTGAATAAATGAGTAAATTTGAATGACGGGAGAGAAGGTGGATGCAAGTAGTGATTGGGAATGAAGGGGTCTTGCGAGGACCAAGGATGATAGTTTGCCATGACCTAAGGGAGTGTGATTAACTTGTCTGAAGTTCAAATTAGACAAGGAAAAGATTTCGGTAAGGTGATTACGTATAAGGTATTTATTTAAAACTTACTAACACAGTGAATTACAAGAACTCACACTGGGCTCATCATTGAGACATTTGAGATCATTTGAGATAAAGAGATGATCCAGGGGCTTCCCTGGTGGCACAGTGGTTAAGAATCCACCTGCCAATGCAGGGGACACGGGTTCAAGCCCTGGTCCGGGAAGATCCCACATGCCGCAGAGTGACTAAGCCCGTGTGCCACAACTACTGAGCCCGCGTGCCACAGCTACTGAAGCCCATGTGCCTGGAGCCTGTGCTCTGCAACAAGAGAAGCCACCGCAATGAAAAGCCCGTGCACTGCAATGAAGGGTAGCCCCCACTCACTGCAACTTGAGAAAGCCTGTGCACGGCAATGAAGACCCAATGCAGTGAAAAAAAAATTTTTTAATAAAAAATAAATAAAAAAGAGGTGATCCAGAAAGCTTCCAGAGAGGTGTTACATGGAGGACGGGGAGTCCAAAGAGCACCAGTTTTCACCATTGTAATATTCGAAACGAGAAACAGTGCTTCCAAATGCTAAATAAACCATCCCATCTAGAATTTCCTACCCAGCCAATCAGTTAGTGTGAAAGTAGGATAAAGACATTTTCAGACAGACGATTTTAAGAAACTTTCTCCTTTGGAGAAGCTACTAAAGGATGTTCTCCACTGCAGAGGCTGTCAACTAGGAAAGGAAGATGGAGACCTGACCCAGGAGCGAGGCAAAGGGAGTGTCCTAGGACGAGAGTGAAGGGTAGTCTCGGCTGTGCACCAGGCCTGGAGAGCAGAGGCCCAGGTCGAACATGGGGATGGAAGGCACCAGGAAGGACGTTTCCAAAGATAAAAGTGGACCTTGCCATCATTGGCCCCCGCTTCCCGAAGTGAATTTTTCATTACATCAGAACATTTGGGGGGGGTATTCGTGATGCACTGAAATCTAAGGAAATGAAAAAACAGGTCAGCTGTTAATTTCAGGAGAAACAACGTTGTTGAAGGATATGTGATCATGGGAAATAGTAAAAATATAATCACGCGGTTAGCTCTGAAGAATCACCTTAAGGGAAATTGTGATGTAATAAGAAATCGTGATATAAATATATTGGGAGAATGGAAGTAGAGGAAGTATGTGGATTTGTGTGTTCGGGAGATGGGAACCATTCAACTTCCAGAAGCAGAAAGAATAGAGAATGTCTTGGGTATTAGTGTCTGCTATATTTTCTTGGCTCTTCTGTATTTTAAATTTTTTCACAATTTTTTTTAAAGATTTTTTTTTTTTGATGTGGACCATTTTTAAAGTCTTTATTGAATTTGTTACAATATTGCTTCTGTTTTACGTTTTGCTATTTTGGTTGCGAGGCATGTGGGATCTTAGCTCCCCGACCAGGGATCGAACCCGCAACCCCTGCATTGGAAGGCGAAGTCTTAACCACTGGACCGCCAGGGAAGTCCCTTCACAGTTTTTTAAAAGGAAAATTTAACAAATAGCCATGTACCAAGAGGCAAATAACGTATAATCCCAACACTCAGAAGTAATGACTGTCAGCGTTTAGCGCATGTCCTTCCACACATACAGGTTAGTATGTTCCTTCACACACTCGTGTATGTATTCAACCCCTATTAAATTAGGTCATATTATACAGTGATTCCCAAATGCCATTCCCCGGGCCCTTTGCATGAGAATCACCTGAGCAGCTTTTTGAAAATATAAACTCCCTGGAGCTCCAGGTTCAGAAAGTTCAATTCATTAGTCTTGCTGAATTGGGCCTCAGGTCTTTTAAAGTTACCCAGGTGATTCCGATGCATGGTCAGGTGTGGGGACTCTGTTTTGTGAATGGCTTTATTAGTGTCATTTGATATTTTTCTCTCTCACCATTTGTTGGGCTACAGGGTAGTCCAACTATGTAAGACTTTTACTGAATGGTCGTTTCTTGTCTCCAGGAAAAGAGAGGGAACAAAGCATCCGATAAAGCTGCTGTCTTGGCCTTTGATGCCCTGGTGGCCTTCTGTGAAGAATTGGGGTGAGTGACTTATCTTGTGTGTGGAAACAAGTGTTAGTGAGATCTTTTCCTCTCCCAGCACTGCTAGTTAACAAGCTAACATAGGACAGTTCTTGGGCCACCAAGGGACCCCTGCCTGCTGAAAGCCATCGTGTGGGAATATTTCCTGTCGGAGCATGGAAGTTGGTACCCTCCCACCTTTCTGTGGAAGGCCCCAGAAACTCTGGCACTGTGAGGATTCGTTGAGTATTTTGGGTGGTCATCTACCCATCCCACTCCACCCACTTCTGAGTGGCTGGCACCATGGGTGACTCAGTTCCGAGAGATGTGACCAGTTCTGATCCATTGGCATTGTGGTGATAATGTGCCAGTGCGCTGTACCACTGCTTCACTTGTGGAGTAGCCACTCTCATCCCAGACCCAAGCAGAGACATGTGGCCCAGTTTATGTCTTGGGAGGGCAGGGGCGGTAATGTGCTTGGAGAGAAATCAACTTTTCTAACATAACACCAGCCTGCCTACTCGGAACCCACTTATCTATTTGATCTGAATCTGCTGGTGGTGGGGGCCGTGAAAGAGCCTGCTAGCTGCTCAGTGACAGGCAGACTGTGGCTGGGAGAGCCCTGGGCACGAGCAGCTGCGGGCGCACTGTATGAGGGACATCCAGAGCATTCTGGACAAGCTCGGAGCACTTGCATTTGTGTAGCCCTTTGCTCGAAAAACCTCTTTGATTCCTCTGCTCTCACTGGTCAGATCTCGTTGGACAACCCTGTAAGGTAGATGAGGCAGAATTGATTGCTTCAGACTTAAGAGATGAACAGACCACTGTCCAGAGAGGTCGTGGTTGGGAGTTCCCTGGCGGTCCAGTGGTTAGGACTCGGTGCTTTCACTGCCGAGGGCCGGGGTTCAATCCCTAGTCGGGGAACTAAGATCCTTCATGGATGCCACTAATCCCCCATTTCCCAGTTTTTTCAGCGATATGCACATTTTCATACACACATGCTATCTTGGTTTTTGCAAGACTGGATTCTTGAAGCATGGAGTTGATTAGGTGCATGGTACTGGTGGTGCCCACCAGATGTTTGGGGCTTTCTTCTGGAAACCAGAGAGGCACTTATTTGGGCCATGTGTTCTGATTCCCACCCCCTCCTATTCACCAAGTCTGTGGCTCCTAGGCTGAAGCTACTTCCTTCTCTAAGCTGCCATGTCTCATTTGGCCTCTGTGGCAAGACCACGCCCAGCAGAGGTGATTGGCACCCTTGCCCACAGCCATTGCAACCAGAGCCCTTTCAGGCACTAACATAGTGAGTTGCTAAATTAGGCCTTCTTTGGTTCCTTGAGTAAAGCGCTTGTCATGAAAGGGCTCAATGTCCTTGCTAGTTGTCAGAGTCCCCTCTGCTTGAAGTCACCCTGGCTGGACTCTTGTTTGGGGTGAGTATGAGGCTCTGTGGAGCTGTCTGGAAGCTTAGCTCTGCTGTATCCCTCTGGGCTGCAGCAACTCACCCGGCAAGAGGACAGGTCCTCCCAGGGCCCTCTGCTTTCTGTCTCATACCAGAGAGCTGGGGCCTGTTAGAGTGTCAGGGGTCTGGGCATCAGTGGGCCTCCTGTTGCCCCGTGTGCAGCCTCATCTCTTCTATCTCATTTGCTACACATGAGGGCGTCAGATTCCAGGACTTCCAGGCCCTGGGACGGAGTGAACGCAGCTGGTATGGCTGGATTTGAAGTTGCTCTTTGAGTAGAAAGGAATGTTTCTTCATTGCATAAATGGCATATAACACGAAGGCAAAGCCCCTTCCTCACCAGATACTTGCCCTTTTTCTAAGAATAGCCTGGTTTGAGGTTGACGTTGAAGCAGCTGTTTGCAAAGGGAGGGCACTTGGCAGCGAGGGACAGCCCTGCTTGATGGCTTTGGCAGAGGCGGGGACATTTCTACAAGGGCTGTGTTGTAGGGTCTGGGGTGCATGGGGGCTGGGGGACCCTGTGAGGGATACCTGGGCATCTCTGGGACCAAGAGAAAAGACACTTGGGTCACATGAATGAGGCCAGCGTGGGGCGTCCAGATGGCTTCCTCTCTTCTTTGCGTGCAGCTCCTTTCTCTGAGCGTGGCCATGAAATGCATTTGATTATTTATGACAGGGCCAAATTTATCTTTGTGTGTAAAAGGAACAGTAATTAGGTTCAAAGCAACCTTCCTCCAGCCTAGAGGCCTCTGGACCCTGAGATGGGAAAAACAGCTTTGGTTTAGGCCTAGATTGTACTGGGCTCTGTCAACTCCTGGGGTCTCCACGCTGGGGGAGCCAATGGCCCAGCATCCCTCTGTTTATCCATTCATTTGCTCATTCGTTCATTCATTCATTTATTCAACCAGCAAATATTGATTGATACTGACTCTGTGCGAGGGCACATCAGAAAAGGGGGTACAATTGGGAACAGAAAGAGACCCAGCCCCTGCTTTTTGTTGCTTGGACCAGTGGGGAAGACAGGCACTTATCAGATAATCACATGAAAACTGTATAATTCCAGACTGTTAGAAGGGCTTTGGAGAAAAGGTACATGGCGTTTTGAGAGTGTATAACAGTGGCCCCCTTCTTGGCCCACAGAAAGTCAGGTCACGACTCTTCATACTCGTTGACCCTGTCGAGTGCGGGGAGTAAACCAAACACAATAGCAAACAAGATGAGAAACAGGACCGTAATGATGAACAAGCAGATCACTACCAGGCCCCCCTGGTCGAAGGGGTTCTGCCAGAACTCATCCTTCCAGGTGCGTTTTGCTAGTAGTCTGTCCATGTGAACCTGGAAAAGTGGGGACAGAGGCCCTGAGTGCAGGGGCTTCTCCAAGGCCCTGTCCCAGGTGCTACTCCCTGCCCCCAACTTCACCCTCTGGTGCGATCTCAGAGAACGGCGGCCACCTCTGTAGCTAGCAGGCATTGAAGGGATGGTGGGTCATTGGGCTCAATGCCTCCAGCAAGCAACAAATGGGCTTTCTTCCTGTGTAGAAGCAAAAGCAGGGACTGGCACCAAGAGAGGGGGGTCCCTTGAGTTCTTCCTGGAGGCTGCCTCTGGCTTCTCCAGTCCTTTCCTGAACAGCCCTGCTGTGAGCAGGACTTTGTCTCCCATCCCTGAGAACTGCTCAGCCAGGATCTAAAAAGCAGCGCTCTAGACCCTTCCTGGGTTTTCCTGCCTCGGTTGCCAAACATTTGGGAAGCATTTTGAGGGATCAGCACAGGAGCCCAGGAGTGGATGGTCTCAAGCTGAGGCCTCTGTAGGCTTCCTTAGAGGCAGGTGAAAACAGAAGGACTAACTAATCTTGAAACACAGCTGAGATGGGCAGGCTGTGAGTCTGTAGCCAGTTGAAGGGAGTAAAGGCGGAGAAGGAAGGAGCCATTACCGGGGTCTGCTGTTTGTACTCCTGTGTCCTAAGCGAGGGCAGGCAGGTCAGGGTAATCCTTCAGGCCCCACGCCTTGGGGGCCTGAGCTGAAGAAGCCGCCAGGTGACCAGAGCTGCACTGTGACTCAGAGAAGCAACTCTTGGGAGGAAAAGGTGGCCGCATTGCTGACTGCCCCCGACCAGACCTGCTTGCTGTCACCAGAGCAAACAAAGGTGGGCTAGGGCCCATTGCCTAGCAACCGCGTTCTCTTTCAGCCTTTCACACTTACCCCTCTGCCGCGTTCTGCCCTTTTGTGATGCTGTTTTGGGGGGCTGCTCAGGGGCGTGGGTTGAGGTGTCCTGGCTGAGAGAGGTCAGACTTGGGGTGGGTGGGGGAAGAGACTGGATCCGGGGCCCTTGCCCCAGGCCTCCCGTCCACCTCACCTGTGGCTGGGTCCTGCCCCTCCTCTCAGTCCGGATGACCCGTCTACTGAAAGGACCTGCCCAGAGGTCGGGAGGCCCCAGGGCTGGGGCTGCCACGCATGGCCGCTCACTTCCTGTGGCGCCAGGTTGATGATTAACCACAGCTCCAGCTGGCACCTCCTGGAACCAGCATGTGCGTGTTTATCACCATTGAGGCCCCAGGCTCCTGTGGAGGCCCAGCTTCCCCCTTGGTGTCTTTGTGTGCCGCTTAGGCCCGGCCGCAGCTGCTTCGTGTGGGTTCCCACCCCCTGGTGTGATGGGGCAGCCGGGAAGCAGGAGTGGGGCCTGTGTCCCTTCTCGTGGAACCTGGTGGCTGCCATTCCATCCTTGAAAGACAGGAGTCGAGTGCCCACGGTGGCCAAGAACTGCACCAGGTGCTGTGTGTCCAGTCGTGAGCGAGAGAGGCAGGCCCTGCCCTCCCAGGGGTTACATTATAGGGTACCAGTCCTCAACCCTGCCTGTTCCAATCATCCGGGAGCTTTTCTGAATGCCGGTGCCCAGGCCCCACCTGGTAGCACAGAGATCAGCCTCTGGGCATGTCAGAGCCCTGTGCTTGGTAAACCTTGTCGGGTGATTCTCCTTTTTTTTTTCAATTTAGTGTGTTTTTTTTAATTTATTTAATTTATTATTTTAATTTTTGGCTGCATTGGGTCTTTGTTGCTGCGCGCGGGCTTTCTCTAGTGGCGAGTGGGAGCTACACTTCGTTGCGGTGCGCGGCTTTCTCATTGCGGTGGCTTCTCTTGTTGTGGAGTGCGGGCTTTAGGCACGCAGGCTTCGGCAGTTGTGATAGGCAGGCTCAGTAGTTGTGGCTCGCAGGCTCTAGAGCTCAGGCTCAGTAGTTGTGGTGCACGGGCTTAGTTGCTCCGTGGCAGGTGGGATCTTCCTGGACCAGGGCTCAAACATGTGTTTGAGAATCCACCTGCATTGGCAGGTGGATTCTTAACCACTGCGGCACCAGGGAAGCCATCATCGTGGGATTCTGACATGCAGCCGGGGGCTGGAGGAGATGATGGGAAAGTTCCTTGAAGTCCTTCTTAACTATCCTGGCTTAATTGACCTTGGCTTACGTGCCGCTTCGCATTTCCTTCTGTAAAACACTCTGACTAATGTCCTTGGCCTGCTGAATGCTCAGAGCCAGCAGGCTGGTCTCAGCACACCCTCGGACTTCCGCTCCATTAGCTTAGTTGGATGCTTATTAAGCGTCAGCTGCTTGTTCCCAAACCTGTTTTGTGGCAGTTGTACTTGTAATTACATAATTGCACTTAACATTACATAAAAATGAAGTGGTGATAATAGCTGAAACCCCAGTTTTACAGCTGGGGAACAGGCACAGAGAGGTTTAGTAACTTACCCAAGGTCACACAGCTAAGAAGTTACTGCTTTGGGGTTTAGACCCAGCTGTTCCTGTCAAAAATAGATGTGGACAGGGCAACTGTAAACATTTCCTAAAAATGCAGAAGTATTTCACACTCAGGTTTCCTTGCAGATGTCTTCAAGTTCTTATTCTGCCTTAAAGAAATCAAAATTAGCAAATAGACAATTCAGGAACTCTGGTCGGCAAACCCACACTTGGAGAAAAGACCTCGGCCCTGCATCAAAAAGATTGACCAAGGAATGTGCGTCTGTATGTTTCCATTTCAAATGAGAGGTGTAGAGAACGTACGTCTCGGGTACACAAACGTTGCTTTAATTGACTTTTTCAATTAACTTCCGGCCCTGATCGGAAAATCCTTCTGAAATGATCACCACGAAGGGAATGATGTGATGTGAAGAGGTAGAGAATGCTGTTGGTGCCCATGGCATAGTCTGGCCTGGGGCCTGAGGAGACTCCCCTGGGAGGAGCGATGTTGAAGTTGAGATGGGAAGCCGACGTAGGAGTTAGAATGTGGAGACAGTGTTCCAGGGTAGGCAACCGGTTCCCAAGGAGAGCGAGGAGACTTTTCCTAAGGACAAAATTAATTTGTCTTCAGTTTTTTTTTTTAACTTTTATTTTTTTAATTATTATCTTGTTATTGCCATGCAGCTTGAGGGATCTCAGTTCCCTGACCAGGGATTGAACCCGGGGCATGGCAGTGGAAGCCCAGAATCCTAACCACTAGGCCACCAGGGAACACCCTGTCCTCAGTTTTTTATGGTCTGCAATTTGTTATTACCCACAAGCAAATATGTCGTATTGAAGATTGTTATCTGTAGATTGCTTTCAAATGTTAATGTTTGGGAAAACAGGAGAAAACTGTTTTGTCTGCTCTGCCAAGTTTTGCTATTAAGATTCTTGCACTGGTGGCTTTACTGTAGTTTCTAATAAGGCATAACATATGTACAGTAAACTGCACAGATCTGAGGTGTAGAGTGAAACCCTCGTGAGGGACCGAGAGACCACAGTCGAGAGACCGGCTGGGACGCTGTGGCAGTGACTGCAGGCAGGCGCTGCTGGTAGCTTGTTCCAGGGTGGCATGGCGGTGGGAACAGAGAGGTGTGGCGGCCAGAGTCAGCCAGATGTTCTCTGGGGCTCAGACGGCCTGATGGCCGCCCCTTCCATGGTCACCACCTGCCTTGCTGTACCTGTTTATTCTTTGCCGTGATGGGGGAATTGCTGCCTCCTCTCCATGCCCATCTTTCCCAGAGGACCAGCCAGAGTACGTCAGGCTGCTCTTGTGCTGGGGCAGATCTGGTTGGTTGATCCGAGTGGGATTGGAGCCTGCCTGGGACCTGGCGTGACAACTTCAGGAGGGGAGCCATTGGTGGCGGGGCTCAGCGTGCCCCCGTAAGCCCTCCAAGGGGAGGGACAGAATCTTATTTGGGGTCAGCAGTTAAGTACTGCCTGGCCTGGAGGAGGAGAACGCGAATGAACCTCCTGTCAACCTGTCGGTGCCCAGGTCTGCCGACTTCTTGGCAGCTGGACCAGGGAGCCTGAATCTTTTCTAGAAAAGATGTTCAGCCTCAGCCACACTGAGGAAGGATGTTCTTGATGCTGATGTAACTCACGTAAGGAAAAGTCACACGAGGATCAGGCTGCTGCACCGTTGGAGCTTCTCCTGAACTGAGGGCTTCCTTGGGACCCTCCAGCTGTTGGTGCTGGGACTGGCAAGGGCGGGGCTTCGCATCCTCCCACCCTCCCTCTGTTTTTCTTCTGGGTGGGAGACATAGCTGGGCCCCACCCCAGCTCTTAACTCTTAGGGCACACCCGCTTATAGGGAGGTTACTTTGAGAAGAGTTTGGGGTGCGGCTGTTTGGGATCTAGGGTTGGTATTGTAGGTGGTGGGTAATGGAGTGAGAGCCTTATCAGTACTACAGCTGGAGGCCTGGGGCCCCGGGTGTGGTGAGCAGGGGCTCTGGAGCCAGGTGGGGGGTGCCCAGAGGCTGGCTCTGCCACTTTTCAGCTGGTCAAATTTAGGGAAGTTACCTATTTCCTCATCTTTAAAATGGTGATAATAATGGTACATTTGGCATTGAGGTGGTCATCATGACTAAATGAATTTATCTGCATCAAAATGCTTAAGACACTGCCTGAGCGGGGACGAGTCCTCAGTGAATTTTAGTTACATCTTTATCCTCACCATTGTTGCAAGTATTATTATGGTTATCATTATTTTTCCGAGTCCCATTCTTTTGTGGTGTGGTGGGTGTGGTAGAGAGTACAGACAGATTCTTGAATTTCTTTTATTTTCTATGGAAGCACTCTTCTCTGGGTCTTCAACCCAAACCAAACCCGTCAGAGAAGTCCCTGGGCACCAGGAAGTGAAACCAACCAGAGAGAGAGCTTCTCCTGCCTGCCTGTCAGCTGGAGATGGTGGGGCCGCAGGGGAGTGGCAGGGCTGGCATCCCCTCTCCACTCCCTGTTTTCTGAGTAGATGGAGCTCTGCCTCAAGGCAGGCAGAGCATGGGCTGCATAGGCCAAGATGACAGAGGCGTATAAAAAACGCAGACTTCTTTATGGCCCCGGCGGACCAGGGTTGTATGTGTGTGTCGGGGCGGGTACCGCGTGGGCCTCTGCCTCCCCTGCCCTCGTTCCTGGCTTTGTAGCTCTACCTGGAAAGTTCTGTGGGAGAGAAAGTAAACTGAAGGGAAAGAGGCCAGGCAGTGTTGCATGTCAGCAGGCCCAGTTTTTGAAATGAGGCCACATTGCTCTGGCTTGGCGCCCTATTTAGAGGGACAGATAATGATGCTTCATATCAGTGGAGGTCTTAGGATATGCCCAGCACTGTGCCAAGGTCATCTCAGTTTATCCTCACAGGCTTAGCCCAGGAGGTGGGGACCAGGATTAGCCCCATTTCACAGGGGAGGAAATATGGCTTGAAGAGGTTGAGTCACTGACCTCCGGTTTTGTAGCTGGCGGGGGTGGGAGCGTGAGGATTTGAATGCAGACAGTCCGGCACACGTTGGGGAAAGGACGGAGCCGTCAGGATGCAGGTTATGGACAATAGTAGGGGCCTCACCTCTCTTATTGCAGAAGTTTGGGAAGACCCAGTGGCCTGAGCCTGGTAGGACGGGGTGTGCTGGCTGTGGTTAATAGCAGTGGTGACCGTGGCGTGGCATTCCTGAGCCCGGCACCTGCCTGGGGCAGACGCAGCCTCCGCCACTGCCGAGCAGGCGTCTGGGGAGGGCGGAGCTTGTTAGCAGCTGGTGCTCGGCAGGAACGGCGCCGCAGCCCTCCCCTGGTTCTGCAGCCTTCCCTCTCGCGTGGCATTCCTGCCTGCATGTTTTTCCAGCTTCCGAGAGCACAGGGAGAGCAGAGGCCTGGCAGGGACGGTCACTGGCCATGTCCCTGGGATTCTGGCACGCTGCCCACCTGATGCACGTAACCCAGCCCAGGGAGTCTGGCACCACAGAAACACATAACCAGAAAGCTTTTACTGGGAAAGAAACAGGCAAATACTGGAATGGAACACAGACGTGTCCGTGCTCTGGGGGGAGCTTGGGACTCAGGAGCTGCTGCGCAAAGCCCCTCTCCGATTGGCCTGCTCCTCTTTGGCGTGGGAGCCTTGAGCCAGCTCCCCACACGTGCGGGCTGTTCTCCAGGTGTGGGGACCCCACTTCTGTGTTTTGTTAGAAAGCGCAGGTAGGCACAGAACCCCCGGTGGTTTTCTGTCTTAGAAACAGTCGAGTCCTCCTCGGCACCCTGTGTTCACTGTCAGGTGAGAGTTTTGTGGCCGGCACAGCCCTTATTTCCTTGACGAGGCTCCAGCTCTCAGTCAGTGTCTGGGTTCCTGGGCTAGGCCAGGGCTGGGCCCGTGGATCTTTGTCTTGAGGGTTGAGGGCTGCAGGGCCAGGCTGACGCCCTGGGTCATGGCTTTGGCGGTCTCCTCTCCGGCTCCTCCTCGGCCGCCGCCCTGGCCCTCACGGTGGGGTCGTGGGTCCCACCAGGGCCCTCCTGCCTCCCCGCTTAGGGCGGCAGCACTGGCAGCAACAGTAGCCGACGGCCATCAGCAGCAGCAGCAGCACAGTGGCTGGGGGGTTGGGGGAGAGAGCAGAGAGCGCCGGAAACTCAGAGGCGAGGAGGAAAAGAACGCCCGCCATACTTCCAAAGAGGCCCCTCTGGGGGCCTGGAGGACCTTCACCAAAGCCCTGGTTTAGTGGTCAGAAATACCCGAGAGTCTGGGAAGAGGTGTGACTAGTCCCCATGCCAGCCCCCGGAGCTTTGCTCCCTCCATCTGTGGATTGGGGTGCCGGAGGCACCTCTGGGCCCTGGTGCCCAGCACACCTGTTTCCTAGAGCAGCATGTCAGGATTAGGGGGGATCCCCTGGCTTCCCCCAGGGGACATCTGCTTCTCCTCCTCTGTCTGGGGGACCACCCAGCCACCTCTGCCAGCCCCGTGGCTGGTACCATGGTCTCGTCTCTCCTGGATGCCAGGAAGAGCCATGGGCGCTGAGGAGACTCTGGGAGCCGCAGCTTACCTGTGAAAATGACAAGGACCGAGAAGGCCACGATCTCCACGGGCTCGGCCTGGGGCAGTGTCTGCAGCTTGTACAGCAGCCTCTCGCCTATGGAGCGCATCTCCAGCGCAAGGTTGGAGGCTGCCATGTTGTGCCGGGTCCCTGCCGGGGTTCCTCCTGAGCTGCAGAGCAGGGAGAGGACCTGGAGTCCCCACGGAGCTGCCTCCAGAGAATCTGCCCTCTCACCTACCCCAGCCTGCAGAACGAGTTTGTCAGGTCTCACCCCTCGCAGCCCTGGTGGCTCACAGCTCACGAGGGAGGCAGGGAGCCGGCAGGGCCCCTTGCTTACCGCTCCGCTGTGGCTCTCAGCCCCCACCTAGCTGGCACTGCTCGGGCGAGGGAAGCTGGGGATGACAGTGAGCCTGAGGCCCTGCCGCAGGAGGGGTCTGCCAGCCGGCCGAGGTCAGCCACGGTTGCTGACCGTGAAGGAGACTGCATGCTCCTTTGTCTTAGACGCCACTCCTAGGTGTTGCCAGGGTGCCTCGGATGGGCATGGCTCCCCTGGCGGCCCCTGAGTGCCTCCCTGGTGGGGACATGGGGCTCCAGGATGCCAGCCTGGCACCCTTGCTTTTCATCATATGTGGGGACAGAAAGGTTGGCTTCTTCCGAGAGCAGGCTCATGGGGGCTTCTGGCCGGGGTCGGCCGTAGTTGAGAGCTGACTGGGGGCAGTGGTCTGAGCCCCCCTGGGGCCCCCCACCTCTCCCACCAGCCTCATTTCTTTACTCATACCGTGTCTTCCTGTGAGAAGGTGGAGGCGACACCGTGTCCTTCTAGTTTTCCCCAAGGGGTCCTCTCTCAGGATGGGACCAGGTGTCCCAGGGGGCGTTTAGCCTCCCTCTCTTGCTGGCTTGGACCTGCCTCTCTGGCTGACCAAGAGAGTCCCCTCCGCTCCCCCCTCCCCCCAACACCCCCTGCCCCTGGCCCCAGGTGAGGGGCAACTGAGCCTACAGGCCCCAGGACCGAGAGCCTCCTCCTGTCTGTCGTGCCCAAGGGGCCGAAGGTGAAGGTCCAGGCCGGGTCAGTGAGTCAGAACACATTATGCCACAGACCTTCTTTCCCCTTCCGTCTCCCCGGTGGGCACGAGGGAGCCAGCGCCTCTTCAGAGAGGGATCAGGGACAGCCTGTGCCAACCCAGAATCAGCCTGTTCCCCGAGGCAGCTCTTAGCCAGGGCAGGGCTGCAGGCGGCCAGGGGCCTGAGCCAGACTGTAAGCTCTCATTACCTCCGCCTCGTCCCTCAGCCAGGCACATTCGCCCCCAGGTGGCTGCGGTCTGTGAGGCCGGTCACTCCTGGCGCCGCCATCACAGCGTAGCGTCCTTAGAGCCGCCTTGAAGGTCATCCGCTCGAGTCCTCTGCGCCGCACTTGGCTCCCTGCCCTCCCTCTGGCATGCGGCCTTTGCTCGAGTGGGGAGCCCCCCTGCGGCCCAGCCCGGCCCATTCCTTCTTGGGCAGCTCTGATCGTTAGAAGATGGGATCGCCTGGTGACCTCGTCAGTCCCACCTGTGGTCACTCAGGCCAATTCCGCCCTCTTCTGCCTCACGGTCCTCCAGGGCCTGGACGGCCAGCGCGGATTCCTCCTGCATCTCCTTCCCCACAGGATAACTGCCCTCGTCGGGTCAGGGGGCCGCCCCCATAGAATAGCATTCAAATCATCCTGGGTTTGAATACTGCCAGCCTTCTTCCTGCTTTTGTGACACGGGAGTGGCTCCGTCTCTCTGAGTCTGTTCCTTTTCTCGTTTTCCATGAAGATGAGGTGCCCGTCTCTCGAGGCTGTCGGGAGGGTTGAGCACAGGGCCGGGCTCCGGGAGTACCCAGCCCATGTGATTCCCCTCTGGGCGGGGTCCGGCCAGCGCAGCAGAGGCCAGGCGGCCTTGGGGGGTGGTCACACCCCCACACATTCACTGTCAGTGACCTTCCTCCAACACCTTTGGGGAGTTTTGTCTGTGTCCTTCATGCCCGGGATGTTTGTGGTGTGTGAGGTGAAGGAGAGTGGTGGGGGGCCGGCTGGAGATGGGGGGGCTATGTTTTAAGTGATGATGGGGGGTAGCAGGCAGGTGATGGCTCTGTGGAGGATTAGATGGTCTCCTGTCAAAGGGGGAGGCTCCTGAAATTAGAGCCTCCCAGCTTCTCCCATGCCCCACCCCAGGGTCTGCACGTTGCTACAAAGGAGATCAGGATCCCAGTTTTCCAATGTACTAGGAGGCATAGAATTCTAGAATGCCATGGGTCATCCACTCCTGCCTCCTTTCTTTTGCATATGGGGACACTGAGACCGGAGAGAGGAAGGGAGTGGGGCCTGGCAGCGCTGCCTCCGCCATCCCTCCATGGGCGCCTGTCTCAGGCAGCCTCCTCTTCGACGGGCAAGATAAGTCGGCCCAGGAGCAGCCCACAGAGGGCCTGGCCCATGCGATGGGCTCAGCACAGGGACCAGGGCTCTGCGTGATCAGCCCCACCCCACACGGGAGTCTGGAAAACATCTTTCATCACTCACCAGGCCACACTTGCTCTTTGAGAACCTCCTGTGACTTGTCACCAAAGGCAGATCTTGCGAGTCTTTCTGTCTCAGGCTCGTGAACTCCTTCCCGAGCATAAGACCCCTCTCCTCAGGTCACACCGAACAGACCTCCTCCCACTGACCAGTGGAGCAGGTGTGCACAGGAAGGTGGTCCCCTCCCTTGTTCTGGGGCCTCCGGGCATCTCGCTCCCCGGGTTTCCAGGAGGATGGGAGCCCACCCGCTGGTCCCATTCCTGGAGGAGGGACCGAGGGACCGGTGGGCTGACCGAAGCCGAGGGGGAGCTTGCCCGGGGCTCAGGAGCTGGGCTGCTTTCCCCTCCCCTCTTCGGCTACTTGGCCTGGCTTTTTCAGCCTGATTGGCCCAGGGCCTGCACTGCCTAATGTAGCCATCAGAGACAGAGAGAAGGCGGAGGCGAGCGGGTCGGCGGGGGGCTTTTTCACCTGTGCCCCCCACGCCCAAAGACCCAGGAGGGATTGCAGAGGGTCGCACCTCCGCTTGTGAGTGAGAGGTTGCGTGGAGACCCTGGTCAGTTGGGGCGTGATCTCCAGAGCAGGGAGGGGGAAGGTGGGGCCGGGCTGAACTGCTGTGCCGGAAAGGCGGGGCCTGTTGATCCGGAGCTTCGCCTCTAAAGTCAGCCGTCCTCCAGGGTTAGGAAGTCTGAAAGCTGCAGACTCACGCCCAGGGGACCCGGGCCCCGCTCTGGGAAGAGTGTCGGTCCACTCCAGCGGGCCACGGACGTGGACAGCCAAGGCCTCTAGGGACTTGGATTGGCCCCAGGGCTGCTCACTGCATCCTGTCTGCAGGAGTGGGGCTGCTGGACACGGCTGTTCTGCCCCAAAGGCTGAAGCCCCCTTTGCTTTTCAGTTGCTATTTTATCATTTCCAGCTTGGCCTTGAGCAGAGGAGCCTTAGTGCTCCTAAGGAGTGGGACTGTGGGGGGCTGGGAGGGGCCTGTTCTCCTAAGAGGGCGGAGGCACATTCCAGCAGGTCCCAGGCGGGCTTTCCAGCACGCTATTTAAAGCGAGGCCAAGGGGTGCCTGACGCCTGGTGCCCGATATAACCAGCCATCGTCAGGTGACCGTGAGGCCTGTGCCCCAGCTGTTGCGTTGTAGGGAGCCCTGAGTGTTCCCAGCTGTGGCCCAGGGAGGGTGGGCATCCTAAAGCTGGCTGCCTCTTGTTTTCTTAACCTTCCCAGGTTTGGAGAGCGGAAGGCAGGGAAGCCCAGTGGGGCTACTGGTAAATCTCTATATTTTTCCAGTCTTTCTATCTCGGTTCCACCACACTCCTTCCCAAACTGTACTTTCTGCCTGTGAATGAGGATCTCCCCCAACCCCATGCTCGGTAGCACCTCGGTTAGAAGCAGCCAGAGCAACTGGTGGCTTCCCCTGGCCTGGCTGCCTGCACGGCCCTTCTCGGCACCTTCGGAGGGTGCTCCCCGGCTGGAGTGGCAGCCAGTGGAGGGGGAAGGTGAGCCGGGCTGAAGGGAAGGCTGGCAGAGCTGGAGGGACTAGAAAACATGCCTTTGTGTGGCATCTCCTGGCACAGAGAACCTTGCAACAGAGCAGGCAGGCCGCTTGCCGGCCCAACAACTGCCACTTGGTACTGAAGCGTCCCTGTTTCCTCTTTGCAGAACTGACACTCCAACTCCAGATGCAGCTGCGTGGGGAGAGCCCAGGCAGCGGATGTGTGCTGTCTGATAAGGGTGTGTTGATGGCTCAGGGCCCAAGGGCTTCTTGCCTTGCCCTGTTATTTTGTCAAGGTGGGTTTCAGCCACCCCTGCCCCCTGGGCAACGTCTTGTTCGAGAAAGAACTAGAATGAGGCATAACTGAAGGTTGGGGGAGTCTTGCGGGGTCCGGTGGCCTAACCAGCAAGGCAGAGATGCCCACTGTGCGCTGCGCTTTCTGCCTTGGCCTCGCCTTCCAGTGGGGTCCAATGACACTTGAACCCTCAGCAGCCCCTTAGCTTCTCCAGGACAGGAGGAGGCACTTCCTGCTGCCGCTGATTCCTCCTGCAGCCCCAGAAGCTGGGCATCACCCTTCTGTCCCCGCTCAGGGATTGTGTTTGGGGGTCCCCATCCACCTGTGTCCTCTGTATCTAGGGACTCTGATCCCTGCCTGCCTGGGCCGTCTTACAGATAAGAGTCGGCAGGGGTAGCCATGGGCTCATCACTGCGTCCCTCCCTTACCCGGCGTCTGTCCCCTCTGTGCCATCACTGCTCATCGCTGCCGGGCTTTTAGTCTCCCCAGCCACCAACCCAGACCAAATCCCACAGCCTCTGCCGAGCCAAGAACACGTCGACTGATCCCTGGTTTCCACTTTAACCTGGGTGGTTGTTTTTCTAAGTAGATACTAGCTTGTTCGCTTTGGGGAGAACATCTGGGGGGCTGGGGAAGGGGACTGTAACGCTGGTGTGAGGACAGGGAGGCAGGAGGGGTAAGCAGCCAGCCTCGACTCGAGACTCTCGGGGCCCTGCCCACGGGAGCTGATCTCAGTGCGCCGAGAACTATCAGCATTCTGATGGCGGCGGAGGGCCAAGTACGGGGCGGGGCAGTCCCTCCCCAAGCCTCACTTCCCCCCCACCCTGGGTTTAGGGCCCTCATGCTTCTGGCCTGGCATTCGGGGAGATTTGGGGGATCCTGGGGATCTCTATGGGCCCAGGGAGGAGCACCCGGGCCTGGCTCCGAGCTGAGAACTCCAAGACCCCCCCCCCCCCCCCCCCGTAAGAGGTAGCGGCTGCTGCCTTTGTCCAGGACACAAGGGGCGGAGCTGCCACAGGTTCGCATCCTGGGAGGTGCGAGGTGGCCGGGCAGACCCTGCCCTGAGCCTCCTTGCCTGGGAGAAAGCAGGGACTTGATCCCCGGAAAAAGGGAGGCTCAGTGGGCAGGCGATGGTTCTCCCCTAGGCCAGGCCAGCCAAATCCCTCGTTTAAGCCCCCTGCATAGGAAAAGCTTAAACTAACTTGCCGAGTAAGCAGGCACTCCAGGCCCCTCTGCCTGCTCAGCAAGCCAGCAGAGGGCTGCAGCCTCGGCCTGTGCCCCATGCTGGGTCCCAGCAAGAGAAGGGGGAGCTTGAGTTCAAAAGGGAGGCTCTCCAGAGACTACAACCAAGTGTGTCCCCCAGGACCCTCCTCTCCGTGCTTGTGGTAGATTGTGGCCCTCCACCCTTGAGACAGGGGACCCTGGCGGCTCCCTTCCCTTCGTCCCCGCCTCATCTGTGAGCGGAGCCACTCACCTGGGAGCTCAGGTGCTGGGGTTGGGGGGCAGCCGCAGGCGCTGGGGAGCCCAGCAGCCTCCGCGTGCCTCTCCTCCGGCCTCCTCTCCAGCGGGGCTCACACCTCTTCCTTCCTTTGCGGACGCCTCTTTCCTGACCCGCGGCTGCTCCCCGGGTGCCTCTGCTCAGCGCAGCGGAGCTCCTGGCTGCTGACAGCCAGCTGCTGTCTCGGCCTTAGCTTTTTTGTTGTTGGTCGTCCTGGAGATTCAAGTGTCACATTACATGGGGCGGCTGCCGAAGTAGGGAGCCAGTGCCACCGCTGCCCCCGCAGGCGAGGGAATCCCTGCTGGGAACTGGTCCTGCAGCTGCAGGTTCCTGCCTGCTCCCTGCCCCGAAGGTCTGCACGGCCCTCCTCTGTTCCTCCTCCTCTTCTCTCCTCCCTCCTGGCGGGTGTGGGCTGGGCCTGGGCTGTGAGCTGATGAAAGAGGAGGTCGGCTCTCATGTTCCCTGGCAAAGATGACCCCTGGGAGGTTCCACCTGAGTGGTGGAGTCAGGAGGGAGGGAGCGAGGGAGGGGGCCTGAACCCCTCCCAGTTCTTTGCCTCCCGCCCCGCCCTCAGGAGCACCTTTGGGCCCATGTCCCTCAACCCCCAACCTGTCCCTCAGGCGACTCCCTGGCAGGTTCCTGTTTTCTCCTGGGAAGGAAAGTAAATAGTGAGGGAGCTGCTGGACCACCCAAGCAGTCAGCCCTCTGGGGAGGCATCTTGGGGAAGAACTTGGGAGTCCCGAGTGACTTGGGAGTGGCCTGGCCTTAGCCTGTTCCTGGGGGCGGCCCCGGGAGGAGGAGAGAGGACACTGCTGATCTCGTTCTTGCCAAAGAGTGTCGGCTGGGGCTGTCTCCACACTCCGGGCCCGGCTGTCCGGGCCGGGCTCCAGAGCCCAGGGGCTGGCTGCTTTGACATTTGGCTGGTCGTGCCACCCCAGCAGACCAGGCTGTGCCCGGAGCAGGACAGGAGCCGACCCCAGCCCGCATCTGCGAGCTGTCAATGGAGCCCTTTGAGTGTGAGCACAAAACGCCAGTGAGTTGGGGCTTGGGGGAGGCGCGGGGGGAAGGAAGCCAGCCTTGTGGCCGCACCACTTGGATGCCAGAGCCTCCCAGAGGCCGGACAGGCAGCCACTGTGCGGTCGCACAGGCTTGAGCCATGGAATGAGTTACACATCGGTTTTGGGTGTGACGGGAATAGCGCCCTCTGGTGGCCTCCATGCCCTCCTTGCCGGCTCCAGCCGTTCTCTCCTCAGCTAAACAAGGCAGCCAGCCCGCGCTTCCTGGGGGCTGTGTCGCAACCTGTTGTCATTCCTGGAGGCTGGCCCTCGGGGTCCTGGCTCCTCAGAGTGTTTCTTGCAGCCCCAGGCAGTGCTCACGTTGATAGGTGTTCTGGTTAGAGCAGTGACACCCACTCTTCTTGTCTTTGGGATGTGGTGACTAGACAGCCCTACCTCTGCTCTGGCATCTCCCCTCGGGTTCCCCCACCCCGTGCCACATTCCTGCTGCAGGAATGGCTGTTTGTAACAGCCCTGATAGAACTGTGGCCCCCCGGGCCTCTGCATCTGCCCCGGTGACCGACTGTGCCCCCAGCCTGGGGGGGTTCATTCTTCCAGCCTGGAAGGTACGACGAGGAAGACTCCGGCCACGGCTGCCTCTCCTCGCTGCCCTCACCAGTGCCGGCTCTACGGTGCCGGCCCTGAGCTGCCCAGTTCCTGCTCTCAGGCAGTCCCCCCGGTCCTGGGCTGTGTACACTGGGCTGGGTACACACAGGCTTGTTGGGGACAACAAGGAAGAGGTCACCAGGAGACAGAAGTAGAGCAGAGTGCTGAGGTGGGGTAGGGCCACTTCCTGCTGTTCTCTCCCTCCCTCCCCGTCAGAAAAAAGTGAAGAGTGATAATAAGAGCCGTGTCCTGGGCACTGTGCAGCTCACTTCAGAGCGTCATCCTGGCCCTTATGCAGCCCAAGGGGCCAGTGCTTCTCTTGCACCGGCTTGTAGGCAGGAGTGCGTAGGCTTCAGGAGGTCAGATGCTGTCCCCAAGGACACAGCCTCAGCAGCAGAGTCAGCGTCTGCACCCAGAGTCCGTGCTTCCTCCAGGGTGCCCCATTGCCGAAGGATGGAGAGTGGGCTGGGGCCCGGAGGAGCACTCGATAGGGAAGCAGGACAGAATGGGGTCCGTGGCCTGGCTCCTCTGGATACGTGTGTTCCATGACTTTGAGAAAGCTCTCAGCTCACTGCCCTCATCTGTAAAATGGGCACCCCAGCGATGCCTTGTGAGACTCGCATGAGATGCCTACCACAGTGCCAGACATGTAGCTGTGCTCAACCAGAGTTTCGGGATCGGGTGAACGAACGCTGGCCGACGTGGGTCCCTCACCCCTTGCCTGTGTTATGCTGCCTGCTCCAGGTGCCGCCACGCTGCCATTGCTAAGTACTTCGGGGATGCGCCCCCCGCCTGCACCAAAGGCTGTGACCACTGCCAGAACCCTGCAGCTGTGCGGAAGCAGCTGGACGCTTTGGAGCAAAGCTGCAGCTGGAGCAAGACCTCCATTGGGCCCTCCCAGGGGAACGGCTTTGACCCTGAGCTGTATGAGGGAGGCCGCAGGGGTTATGGGGGCTTTAGCAGGTGAGGGGCCATGAGGCCAGGGGCCCCCAACCCACTGGAAATAGTCTGGCATTCTCTCCCTGATGCTAAGGCCAGACCAGAGGCGACACAGTGCCGTAGTCCACCCCCCGGCCCTGAGGGCCACACTGGGGCCAGGACTTCGATGTTGCCCATGAGCTGCCAGGGCCTCAGAGACATCACTGTCCCAGCAGACACGTGACAGGAGGGCAGAGCCCAGACCCAGGACTGCTCATGCCCAGCCTGTCTCCTAGGTACAACGAAGGTTCTGAAGGCAGTGGGGATGAGGGCAGAGACGAGGCCCACAAGCGGGAATGGAATCTCTTCTACCAGAAGCAGATGCGCCTGCGCAAGGTGAAGGGGATGGGGGCTCAGTGGGCTCCAGGTGGCCCCCTGCTCACACCCTCTCAGCCCCTTCCCTGGGGCTGGACTGGGAGCTGTCTTGCTGCGGGGCAGGATGCCTTACGGGCCCTCATGTCATCTTCCAGGGCAAAGACCCCAAGATAGAAGAATTCGTACCTCCAGGTCAGTACAGAGATGCCCCCTGGGCTGGTCTCGGGGTATGGTGGAGGATGCCTCACTGAGGGGTTGGGGATGCCAGAGAGCAGAAAGTAGAGTGGAAGGACTTGCCTCTGCTCCCCCCAGATGCAGACTGTCCCCTGAAAGAGGCTTCTAGTAGGAAGATCCCCAGACTCACTGTGAAGGTAAGAGGTGGGCAGCTCGTCACACCTGCCCCCCCAGGATCCCCCCCCAACCTGAGACTGTTTGACCAACTTCCCTCCCCTGTGCAGGCCCGTGAGCACTGCCTGGGGCTCCTGGAGGAGGCTCTGAGCAACAACCGCCAGGCCGCAGGTTCCACTGATGGGTGAGTGTCGTCAGGGCCAAGGAGCAGTCCCCGGGCTCCTGTTCCTTTGGAGGCCGCAGGAACCCCAGCCCCCCTGGCTTATTTGGGCACCCCTCCCCAAATTGGGACTCATCTTATTCCCAGGGGGTGTGAGTCTCCACAGCCTCACCAGGGGGCAGGCTTGGCCACAAGCGAGGGGCTGCCAGGAGCTGCTGAGGGACAGTAAACCACAGGGGGCCCAGACAGTCCAGGTCGGAATCCCTGTGCCCAAGGCCGTTCCTGCCAGGCCGTTCCTGAAGCCATCTCCAGGGTCCCCAGGGGGGATCTAACAGGGAGGGGGCCTCAGGTCTACCTGACACCTTAACCTCGTTCCTACCCTCAGATCTGACCTCCAGGCCAAGGCAGTGGAGCTGGAACACGAGACATTCCGAAATGCCAAGGTGGCCAACCTGTACAAGGCCAGCGTGCTGAAGAAGGTGGGCACTGGGTGGGGTGGGTGGGGCGTGCTCCGGGCTCTGGGTGGGAGAGGCAGCCTGCCACACAGGGCGCGCTTATTCCCGGGGGAGCCCGACTTCCCTCCTTTCCCGGCTGGAAGTATTTCTAGCCAACCCCGTGTGGACTAGAACTTGTCTAGTGCCCAGGTGCTGCGGAACCCACTCGTGAGAAGCCTGGGCTGGGGGCTGTTGGGAGCTAGGGGTGCCGACCATGGCGTTCCCACCTGTCCCTGCCCCAGGTGGCTGAGATCCACAAAGCCTCCAAGGATGGGCAGCTCTACGATGTGGGAGGTGGTGCCAGGAGCTGCAGCGCCCAGGCCAAGCCCCCAGAGCCCACCGAGTATGACATCCGGCCGGCCTCCCAGGTGTACTCGGTGAGTGGCGTCCTGGTGTCCCCCCCAAACCTGGGTCCAGGAAAGGCGCCACGGCCCCTTGCCCTCAGCGAGGGCATAGTCCTTGCTCTCCTGGCATCACAGCCCTGGCCCTATGGCGCCCCAGGGCAGGCCTTCGCGCTTCCGTACTCTGCCAGCTACGCCTCTGCAGCCCCCCACAGCGCCTGTCTCGCCAGCCCAACCCCCAAGCCTTGTCCCGCCCAGCTTTTCCCGCCCCCACTCCCAGGAGCCCCACCCATGCGGCCATCCCTGGGCCCTCTAGAGAGTGCCCTGGAGGCACCTGGGGTCAGAAGCCTCTCTCCTCCTCACAGCTCAAACCCAAGCGGGTGGGAGCTGGTTTCCCGAAGGGCTCCTGCACGTTCCAGACGGCCCCTCAGCTGATGGAGAAGACGCGGCTCAAGGAGCAAGACCCCCGGCCGGTGCAAGGAGGCGAGCAGGAGCCGCCCGGCCAGCCCCGTGGCCGCCAGGATGAGGACCGCGCTGAGCCCCTCCCTAGGCCCAGAGCAGAGGCCCCCGGGAGCGGTGCTCATTGTGGGGCGCCCTCCCCCGAGAAGAAGGCAAAAGGCCCTTCTCCGGGCAGTCCTACTGCCAAGGCCCGGGTTGGCAAGAAGCAGCAACTCCTGGCCGCAGCAGCCCTCAAGGACTCCCAGAACATCGCCCGCTTCTTCTACCAAAGGACCGAGAGCTCTCCTCCGCTCACTTCAGCCCCAGGGGCAGAAGGTGCCAGCCCTTCCCGTGACGGGGCGCGGGGACCCCTGACGGCCCCAGAGAAGTGCACAGGGGAGGAGGATGGAGCCATGGGACATTTGGCTGCCCACCCCCAGACCGAGGAGTGCTCCGAGGAGGGGCCAAGGTGAGGTCATGGGCAGTCCTGGAATCCTCTAGAATCCCCTCTGCTAACTGGGCCTCTGAAACTCGGGGCCTGTTCCCATGATGGGCTTCACTGGGCCACCTGGGCTGAGGGCGCGGCTGGCATCTGGAGCTCTGACGCCTGCTCTCCCTTCCGGCCAGTGCCTGCCTGCTGCTTAGAGACCAGAGGCCCCCAGAAGGCCAGCCAACCCCCACAAAGGAGGCACAGAGAGGCAAGCGGCCCAGACCCCAGCAGGTACTGAGAGGGAGGAAGATACCTGTCTACCAGGCTGGTGTCTGCTCTGGGTAGGGGTTTGGGAAAATCATGTCTTCTTTCCACATCCCAGGGCAGATGGGCTGGGCTAGAGGGAGCCAGGAGGTGCTGAGGCGCAGTCTTCCAGGAGGGGAGGGGCCAGTAACAGGGAGCCCAAGAGCGACCCTCCACTGTGGCCCTGCCCAGGAGAACCCAGAGAGCCAGGCTCAGAAGAGGCCATGCCCCTCAGCCAAGGTCTCCATCTTAGCTGAGACCAAGGGCAGCGTCTCAGCCAGCGATCAGGGCAGCTTGAAGCCCCAAGGCTCCTGCCAGCTCTTGGCTCCTGGCATCTCGCTGAAGGAGGCTGCGAACATCGTGGTCAAGTGTCTGACCCCCTTCTACAAGGAGGGCAAGTTTGCGTCCAAGGTAGGGTAGGTGCATGGGCCTGTTCTTCTCTGAGCCTGGGGCACTTGGGTGCAGTGCGTGGGTGGGTAGGGAGCGTGAGCCCCAGTGAAAAGCAGGGCGGAAGCAGGCCAGTCCAGAGGCCCGCTGCCCGCTCCCTGGGTCTGCCTCACTCTTGGGTCACAGCTGTGGGTCGCTCAGAGCAGGGTTAGGTTCTGTGCTCTCTGCTCCTCTCCACTCTCTGTCCCCAGGAGCTGTTTAAAGCCTTTGCCCGCCACCTCTCACACTCGCTGACCCAGAATCTGTCTCCGGGAAGGAGCGGTGAGTGCCTGCGTCACCGGCCGGGAGGTGCTTGTGGGGGCCCTGTAGTGGGGAGACTGGCTCTCACGCTCCCCCATCCCGAATCCAGTGAAGGAAGAGGCCCAGAACGTCATCAAGCAGTTTTTCCACGGCCGAGCCCGGTGCGAGAGTGAAGCTGACTGGCACGGCCTGTGTGGCCTGCAGAGATGACCGAGAGCTGCCCGACGGGGCCGGTGTCCTCCCCGGACTCCACCGCAGCCCAGCCCGGGCCTCGCTCAGTAACGGGGAAGGTGGGCGGCCTGCTGCTGCTGGGACATCGTCTGCTCTCAGGCTCTTCCCCCTTCCAGCCATGCCTTGCTTTGGAAATGGGCCTGGACACCTCCCAAATCAAGGTCAGAGGTCAGCCCACTTTTCTCTTTGCTCGCGAAGCCTGAGGTCCTCTTTCTCCTAGCCTCCCTGCCTCCCCGGCCCTCGTGGCTGGGTTTTCTGGGCCAGATCCACAGATCAGAAAGTGACAGGTGGTGTGGCTGCTGCCAGAGGAACAGAAGGAAGGAAGGTCCCTCCACCTCGTGTACTTAGCATGTTTTCAGCCGGGGGTGAGGCCCACCAGTCCGAGGCCTTGGGGCCTACTCAGAAAGAGCTTGGGCTGGTCCCAGGTCCGCCCCCACCACCGTCTTCCCTCGCGATGCCAGCCTCCAGCCCGGCCCAGGTGCAGAGCTCATGGGAAGACCGGCAGCAGCCAGGCCCTGCTCCCTCAGCGCCCCTGGCCGGGAAGGCCAGGCGGGGCTTCGACAGTTACCAGGGGAATAAAGTCCTGTTGGCTCTCATGCACACGCACACAGCCCTGTTCTCTCAGGAGTTTTATTTCCTCAGCAACTGCTGCTCCCAGGGCTGGGCTCATGCTCGTGTCGGGCCAGGGCCCAGGTGGGCATCTCCCCCGGACTGGGCAACATCGGACGCCCAAGCCGAGTTCCTGCAGCGCCCACCCCAGGCTCAGGCCCAGGCCCACCCCGGAGGGAGTCTCATGACTCCCAGTTGAAGTCGCTATAGCAGCCCCTCCCCGTGGGCCAGCTGGGCTGTGCGGCAGCAGGTTCCAGAACCAAGCGGTGAAGTCCAGGCCAGACTGGCCTGACAGCACCCAAAGGAGACTGTCCGGGTGATACTTGGCCAGAGAGGCTTCCTGTCCTCGTCTCTGCCCCTCCGCCACTCCTCTTGGGTGAAGGCCGGCCACTAAGTGGAAGGAGAGTTGCGGTCCAGCAGGAAGGTGATGGTGTGCTTCAGCTCCTGGGCCTGTGCGGGCACAGGCATGTGAGGCCAGGGCTCCCCAGCCAGCCCCCTGCCTCTGCCCCCAGCCCCACCACGCCGGAGCAGTGGGCAGAGGCCTGGGCCCGCTCTCGGGCACACCAGGCCTGGGTGAGGCGCCTGCCACCTTCTCAGGGCGCAGAGGCCACGCACCTGCGGCAGCTCAAACCAGATGGTCTGGGGGTTGTCAGCCGAGCCATAGTTGAGTTCCAGGCCAAGGGAGTCCTCAGGCCCCAGTGGGCTCAGCACGCGGAGCCGCTGCAGGTCCCTCAGGGCGATGGAGTAGCACAGTTCCTGGGGGCGGGGAGGGGGGACAGGGGGAGAGATAGCGGAGCTTGGTCCCTCTGGGGGAGGGGTCGCTGTAGGTGGTGGGAGGCAAGTGGCCCAGGAGCCTGGCCCACCTGAGAGCTGGGGTCCACGAGGATGAGGTGCTGGCGGTTCAGCCCCAGCAGGCCAGGGCTGGGCAGGGCCGGCTTGCTCGCTCTCGGCACCATGTAGACAGTGTGGCCAAAGAGGGGCAGCTCACTCGCGGCCTCTGCGGATGGAGGGGCAGAGCAGGAGTTCTGACCGCTGGGGCCCTGGGACCTGCCGGACTTTGCCCCCAGGACAGAGGAGAGGGCAGGGCAGGTGGAGAGCTTCCTCAGCCCCTCCACCCTCACCCCTTCCTTGCTGGGGCTCCCGCCTCTGCCCCAGCTGCCCCCTAGCCCCGGACCCACCTATGAAGCTGATCTGCGCTTCCTGAGAGCTGCATCCTCGCAACTGCCACAGCTCCTGGCCCATCAGCCTCTTCACAGCGGCCACGTTCATCTGACATTGCAGCTGCTTCGGCAAGTAAGCCAGTAGGTCTTGCCTAGGACACAGCCTGGTCAGTCAAAGCCGGGCATACAGCAGGTGCTAAGTAGATGAACCAGTGGCTACCGTGGGTGAGACCGGGGATCCAGACACATGAATGAGGCATGGGTTCTGCCCTTGAGGAGCGTGGAGGGGTGGGCAGGTGTACCCAGCCCCCATTTGGCTAGGGCCACAAAGGGTACAAGTGGCCTTGACCTTGGAGGAGGGGGTAGGGGTGGTGGGGTGACAGGCGTGAGGGCTGTGTTCACACTCACTCGGAGGGGGGCTCCTCGTGGTTCCTGCTGAGGTGCTGCAAGGCAGCCAGCCTGGCAAGTCGGGCATCTTCCTGGGCGCTGACCAGCAGCTTCCCCTGCAGGTAGTCCTGCAGCACCTGAGGGGGGAGCAGTGAGGGGGCAGCTGTGCCCCAAAGCCCCACCTAGTGGGTGGCTCCTGGGCCTCAAGCCCTCCCCCCACCCAGGGAGGGACTCTCCCTCAAGCTGCAGCCTAGGTTCCAACCACCAGCGGCGCAGCAGCGCGGGGCCGAGTGGGGCTGACCTGGCGGTAGTGGGTGCTGACGTAGGTGGGATTATCGAAGTGCAGCGGGGTCTCCCAGCCGAGCCGCCGGCTGTGCAGGCTCACGTCCAGACCCACCACCTCGCTGTTGAGGTACTCCCGGGGCCACAGGGGCCGCACCAGCTGGCCTGCGCGGGGAGCCTGGGTCCACAGCCTGCCCTGCCGCCCGGGGCCAGCCCCGCCCACGACCCTGCCAGCCCCAGTGTGGGAGCTGCCTCCCCCGTGGCCAGAAGAGCGGACTTGGCAGGCAAGGCCACGTCCCTAAGTCCAGCCGGGCCACGCTTCCTCCCCAGGCCAGGTGGCCTACCTTCCCCTTTGATGAGGAAGAGGGCAAATTCCTGCACTTCATGGGGGTCCGTGATGCCCATCTGCCCACACATCTCCTCCAGCACTTCTGCTGCCACCTGGACATGCGGACAGGGCCGTGACGGGGGTGCTGGGGAGGGAAGGAGGCTGCAGCAGGGGAGGGATGTCCCCAGAACTGATGCCCACGGCTTCCCTGGGTCTCCCCAGCCCCTCCTCTGTGTCCCTGTGCTCACCGTGAAAGTGTGGGTGTTGGTCTTGTACTCCACACCCCCGGGCAGGTGAATTAGGAGCAGGTGGACTACTTGTCCTTTCTGCCAAAGCAGGTACGGGGTCAGCCCCCCAGTGGGCAGAGGCCCCGGCTCCCCCACCCAGAGGGAGTCCCAGAACACCCAGCCGCCTGCACCCCCTGTACCAGGAAAGCCTGCATTTCGCCTGGGGAGGGCAGCTGCCGGCGACCCCCGTACTTGACTGTGTGCTGGAGGTGCCCCTGGCAGCGCCGGGCCAGCTCTGCAGAGAGGAGCCAGGCTGGGGTCATGAGCATCCCCAAACCCCTCCCCAAGCAGCCGAGACCCCAGCCTGGAAGCCCCTCCCACTGGCACCTTGGCTCAGGGCCGAGTGCTGCAGAAACTTGGTCACGTAGGGCATCAGCAAGGTTGATGGGGGAAAGTAGCCTGTGAGGAGGCTGAGGAAGGTCCACCCTCGAGCGCAGAGTCTCCTGCAGGGCAGAGAGCCTGGGCTTTGGGCCGGCCGGGCAGCAGCACTTTGGGCCGCCCCCGAGAGGCCCACGACCGACCCCCGCCCGTCCCCCACTCTCACGGCCGGGGGTGTCCTGTGATCTGCTTCATGGCCTGGCAGTAAATCTCATCCCTGAGGTTCTCCTCCTGGCACAGCTGTGGGGAGAGGAAGGGCAGGGGGCAGCGGGTCGGGGGCAGAGCTGCAGTGCAGTGCAGTGCGGTGGAGTGAGGGATGGCGTGGGATCTGAAGTCGGAGAAGTCCTGCCAGTGGCCGTGGGCTGGGGGCCAAGTCAGGGTGACAGCCCACCGTCGTCTCTCGGTCTTGGTTTCACTCGGCTTTTAATAGCATCTGCACAGCTGGCCACTCAGTAAGTCGCCGTCTTTCCCCGCTTCCAGGCCGTGCTCGGCCCTGTCCTCTTTCTCTGGTCCCTCTGTCTTAGTCCTCTCTGCTGACCCCCCTCATCTCCCTGACTCCTAAGGGCTGCAGTGCCCTTGGGCCTCTGTCTGCTGATGACTCCCGGTGCCTGCCTCCAGCCCAGACTTCTCCCATGAAGCCCAGACCTTCCACTTGGCAGACTGGGACTTCAGACTTCACGCATCCCAAACAGATTCCTCCACCAGGCCGGCCCCATCCTCACTCAGGCTTCCTTGTGGTGACCAGCATTGCTCTGGCCTAGGCCCCCGTGTCCCCCTCGGCCCCTCGCTCTCACACCCATGTGCACTTCACAGCTAGCCCTGCTGCTTGGGGTCCTTCTTCTCCCCTCTGCTGCTGCCTCTGGGCCTGGGCCAGCCACGTCTCACCTGGGATCGTGGCAGGAACCCTCTCCTTGCCCTTAAACTCCCAGAATCGCAAACGACCGCCAGAGCGACCCCACGAAATGTAAGCCGCGTCTCTCCTCAAAACCCTCCAGTGTTTTCCCAGATCTCGAAAAATCCAAGTCCTGACAGTGGACCACAAGGCCTCCCGTGACCCGGACCCTCTGTCCCTCCTGGTCCTCGCCTCCACTCTCCCCCTTGCTCACTGGGCTCCAGCCACACTGGCCCTGCTGGGGCTGAGGCTCACCCCCGCCTCTGCCTGCGTGCGTGCCCCCATGCCCTGCCCCCATGCATACGTGCCTCACTCCCTGGCCTTCTTCAGGTCTCTGCTCCAGGGTCACCTTGTCACCAAGCCTTCTGCACTGAAGCAGCCCCTCCCCTGCTTTATCACTCCACAGCACTCTTTGCACTGGACACGTTGCCTCAGGGTTTACCGAGTGTCTCCTCTAACCAGGCTGCAAGCTCTGCAGGGACTCGGCCTGCTTGGTTCACTGCCCTGCCGCCAGCACGTAGGTGCTCGATAACTAATTTTGGATGCGTTGAATGTATAGTGACCAGGGGACAGGGGGTCCCATGGAGGCCCAGGCAGGAGGACAGGAAGGGGCCCTCAGGGCTCACTGACTCCCCACAGCTTCCGGCTCACTTTCCTACCTTCAGCAGCCCGTAGAGGAGATCCAGGTCGTTCTTGCCCCGGGGCTTGGACTGGTCCCCCATAAACTGCATCAGAGCTGCGGGCAGGATGAAAAGCACGGTGAGCTGGGCTGGGGGCCTGGCCCCGGCTCGTGCTGTCGCTGTGCAGGGCCATCTCATGCCTTGCTCTCAGAATGCGTGTGAGCCAGGCGGAGCAGCAGTCTCAGCTGTACCGATGAGGAGACAGGGTTCAGAGAGATCCTGTGGCCACCCAGGGCTACACCAAGCGCATAGCAAGTCAGACCCACCGCTGCCTTCCAGCCCAGACTCCACACAACCCACAGCCCCCTGGGCATGAGTAGAAGTGGGTGAGGGCCATGTGGTATAGGAGCCACCGGTGAGCTTCCCCGAGTCGGCGAACTCAAGGACAGAAGGCGACCAGGTGCCTGGGTCCCGGGCACTGCAGACATGGCGACCCAGGACACCGTGGCTACTTACCCTGGAAGCTTCCCACAGCCCGCCTGTTCACGTCCTCGTCACTGACACTGATGAGTGATGCCTGGATGGGAGCCTGCGGCCAAAGAGGCTGCCTGTGGGTCTGGGGCCATGGGGGCCAGGGGCCAGGTCTGCTGTCCCGGCTCCTCCCCACCGTCCCCCTTACCTTGCTGTACTGCACCAGGCTGGCCATGGCCTTCCTCTCGGCATCTTCACCTGTCTGGCCCAGCCTGAGGGGGCGGAGGGGAGGACAGCCCCGCTTGCTCAGCCCTCCCACCCCCATCCCAGGCTGGGTAGGGAGGGTGCTAAGAGCCCTGGCCCGGTGGCTCTGAGCAGGGAGTGTCCCACTTCAGGGACACTGAGGATGGGCGGGCATGGGGCAGGCCCAGGGCACTCACAGAGTCTGGGGCTTCCGGAAGTAGCGCAGGGCAAATTCCTGCATGGTGTAGTCGGAGTCTGTGGGCAGGGTGACGCAGGCCACAGACGGGGACGGGCTGGTGGCCAAGTTGTCACTGTGTGCCTGGCTCCAGGGGTGGGTGGAGAACTTAGGAGCACAGGAGACCTAGCACCACCCGAGTGTCGCCTGGCCTGTCCAGCGGCCCTGCCCAAGCCCCCGCCCCAGCCCAGCCCAGCCCAAGAGAAGCAGGCAGAGTAGCTGCGGTGAGCACACCACCAGAAGCCGGGACAGTCAAGAGCTGTTTATTGAGCACCTTCCAGGTGGCGCTGAGCTAGCTACCACGAGGGCCACACGAGAGGCAGACTGCCCAGCCCTGCTGGGGAGACAGGACAAGACATCGGGAGCGGGCAGAGAGGCGGCATCAGACCAAGCGCTGCCCACCAGGCGTGGGGTGGCCCTCCGCCGCTCTGGGGCAGTCGAGCCCGTTCTTTCCTCGACTCCTAGTTAGGCCTCGCCTCGGCGTCTCCCGTCTTCCTCACCTCCGACGCTTTATCCCACTCTCTGTGCTGCAGCTGACTCTTGTGCCAGCCATTCCTCTGCTCCATCGAGAAGGAAAAGTCCGGAGCAGCAGCCGGCTGCACTATGTCAGCAGGAAAGAGTCCGGATCGGCCCCCGGTGGAGCCAAACTGCCAGCCTGGGGGAAACATCCAAGGACGGTGCCTCACCCTCCTGGGCCCTCTGCCCACCCACCGGGTGCCAGCCGCCCTGCTTGCCCCGGGGATACCTGGCTCCAGAGTGGCCACCGGCAACAGCTTGATGAGGTCCCCCCGTTGGAAGCTGAGGAGGCTGTGGTCGTCAGTGAGGTAGCTTCGCAGGGCAATGACGTAGCCAGAGTCCTGCAGGCGGGCGGGTGAGCGGCCAGCCTGCTTATGACTCCGTCCTGCCCGTCCCACCTGCTCCCCCGTTGGCGTCACTCTCCACCAAGCGCCCCCAAGTTCCAGCCCCACCCCAGGCAGCTTGAAGGAGCTTGGCTGACGGCCCCGAGTCCAGGCAAACCAGACGGGGTGCGACGCAGCGGTGTTGGAGGCCCCCCGCCCGGCGCCCTGCCGGCCCGCACTTGCCTTCCTGAGCTCGCTCAGGAGCAGCTCAACCATGGCCTTGATGGCTCCCGCCCGCACTGTGTGTAGCAGCAGCTGTTCCCTCTTCAGTGACAGCTCCAGGGCGGAGCCAGCCCGGCACTCCACACCCAGTACCTCAGCAAAGCTGTGCAGAGGGTGGGGCGTGAGCTGGGCGCCGTCTCGCCGGCCCACGCCACACCCCAGCCCAGGCTCACCTGTACGAGCGGAGAGTCTTCAGCTGGTCGGGGTGGAAGCTGGGGCCTTGGGTCACCTTGAGCAGTCTCAGCCCCCGGTGGGACACGGCCAGCAGCTGCACGTCGCTGCCACCCTCGCCCTGCCCGGAAGGTGGTTGGCTCACGGACAGGCTCCGGGCTCCCCGCCGCCGGCCAAGACACCCTGGGGCTGCTCAGGCCAGTGCTATTCTTCGTTGGTTCCACTGGGGCCCAGCCCACCCCCAGCTCTAATCCTGCTGCGGAAGGCCAAGCTGGCCTCCAGCCCTGGGCGCTGCCATCCCCAGCCTCACTGACCGAGACGGGGAAGATGCGGGAGAAGTAATTGGCCCAGTTGTCCCTGGCGGCCACCACGATGCGCTTCTTGACACTGTCCTCAGCTGTGTCCAGGGAGTCCAGGCCCACCTCCAGGTCTCCTGTTGGGCAGAAATGGCCCCAGGCCGTCCTCAGGCTCCCTCACAGCGGGGACCCCAGAGTCTACTCCCTCCCTCTGGGCAGGCCCAACCCCCAGCACTCCGGCTCCCTGACTCCAGGGTCCCTGCACCCTACGCAGCAGGTCTTTCATCCTGTGCCTCTCGTCCTGGGAGATCCGGATGCAGGACTCCGCAAAGGTGTCCCTCAGGATCTGGGGGCAAAGCCAGGCGGTCACCACCAGGTCCTGAGGCCACAGCCCACCCCAGAAGCAGCCACGCATGGAGGAAAAGCTGGAGAGCCCCATAGGCACGTGGGTGGAGCAGGGAGGGATGCCTGGCCTTCCAAGCCCAGGGCCACGTCCACCCGGAGCTCCCACCTGCCTCCCCCAAGCTGCCGGCACTAGTCGGGCTGCTGCTCCTCTGTCAGCTGAGATAAGCTTCCCTGAAGGAACACGGGACTTGGGGGAGGGGGAGGGGGGGCAGCTACTGTAGAACCGGGGAGAACAGACACAAGCATTGGGAGCATCTAGAGGTGGCAAAGGGACAAGCACGAGCGAGCACCTGCTGTGTGCCAGGCCTGTGTTGGGTGCTGTATATGCTTTATTTTTAATCCTCGTCATAAGTCAAAAATGGCCCTTATTCTGAGGGATGTTGGGAGGATTAAATAAATGAAGGCAGGGCTTGAAACACACCAGCGTCCCGCAAGCGGGGCTGCTCTCCTGCCTGGGGTGCGGGCGGTCTGCCTGTACAGGTCCCAGGTGGGCTGGGCTCTCACCTGCTCACAGAGGAGCCTGAGGCAGTAGGGGTGGCTGAAGTTCTCCCGGGGGTAGAACACCTGGGCGAGGGCAGGGGCGTGTGAGAGTGCGCCCGGACAGTGCCCCCGCCAGCCCCCCTCCCGCCCCACCTCTGCCTCCCGGGCCGGAGGAGGTGGGGCTGGGGAAGCAGCCCCCAGTGTCTGTGTGTGGAGAGGAGATGCTGGGGCCCCAGGCTGGCGCCCCTACAGCCAGCGCCCCGTCCCCCACCCAGGGAGGCCAGGCTGCGGCCCGCCCTCGCGCCCACCTCCTTGCGCAGGAACAACCTCCAGGGGGCGCTGGCGTAGGAGAAGCACACGCTGCCCGAGGGCACGAGCAGCTGGGTGGAGATCCCCTGGTCCCCCATGGGCTCCACAAAGCCTGGCGGATAGAGGGGCCGAAGGGCATCAGGCGAGGAGCTGCCCAAGCCGGAATGATGCAGGCACGGAGAGAGAAGACCCTCGGCCCACTAGGGCCCCACGTGGCCCAGCTCAGTCCACCTCCGCTGCCTCCCTCCCCCCGCTCCGTCCCATCGCCGGCCTCCATCTCCAGCTTCCCACGTTCCCCACTGTCCCTGACGTGCGTGGGCCCCCCCGACTACGTCAACGGGGTCACTAAACTCCTGACGAGGCCCACGCCCCGTGACGGTCCCTCCGTGCCAGACAGGCCCCAGGGGTGCCCGCGCCCCCCCCCCCCCCCCCGCAGGAACGCGGAAGCTGGGGCTCCTCACCCACGGCTCCAAAGTCCGGAAGTGCGAGCAGCTGACCTCGACCGTGAGCGCTGAGAGGCCCTTGGGAATCCTGCCCCCGCCCCCCACAAAGCCCACCGCCCGGGGATATGGGGTTTCTCACTGTGCGGCTCAGCTGGAGGGGTCGCTGGGTCCAAGGGTGGAGGCAGTGGAGGTGCTGGCGGAGGGGGGGGTCTCTGGGCAGTGGGTGGGTTCTGGCCAAACAGCTCTTGAAGGGGCCCCTGCTTCTCCTTGATGGAGTTGGAGGGCACACGCCGTGGCTGGCCCTCGGGTCGAGGGGCCACAGCTGGTGGGGGGCCCTTCCCTGGGCTGGGGGACAGCGTCTGCGTCTGGGGAGGCACGGAGAATACACCCAGGCTGTGACTAGCGGCCAGGTCTCCCCCGGGGAGCCTCAGGAGGGCTCTGGCACGGAGCAGCGCGCTCTGGTCAGGACGGGGCCTCACCGAGGGCAGCGAGGAGGCACCACTGATCCCCAGCTTAGCCAGAGCCTCATCCTTAGGGTTGTTTTTCTTCAGGAAGATCTGGGGGGGCTTCCTGAGAGAAGGAAGAGACCAGGAGTCCACACGGTGACGCTGGGCAGCGGGCAGTCCCGGCCGTGCTCCCCCTCCCCACCGCCGGGGCGCACCTGGGCGGCTGCGCGGGCACGGGCACGGGGCCTGGGCGGCTCTGGCATATGCGGATGATGTCGCGGATCTCCCTGCTGGGCTCCGCCTGCCGGGGCTCAGGGTCCGAGCTACGCACCATGGCTCTGCCCTCTGCCGGCCGGCGACCACCGCCAGGCCCTGCCTCTGTGGCTGGCTCAGCCTCAGCCTCCTGTGCAGCTTTGGCCCCATCTCGTGTCAGTGGCTTTTTCACTACTGGGGGAGGAGGAGGTGACGGCACTGACCAGAAAGAGAGGAAAGATGTGAGTCCCTGTGCAGAACCACAAAGCCTGCCCCCCCACCCCGCTCCCCACCACCTGCTCTCGGTTCCTCTTCTTCCGGCTCCTCCTCCTGCTCCTCCCCCTGGGGGATCTTCACCTTGGCCGGAGGCCTCATCGTCTCCACCTTGATCTGCTGCTGCCCTGTAAATGCCACAGATGGCCCTCGCTATTACTCTCCACCTGGCCCGCCCGTCTGGGCTCCTGGACAGGCCACACTGACCTAGAGGAACAGAGTACACCCCGCCGTCCCCTGGCCAGGATGGGGCGGTGGCTGAGTTTTTGTGTGGAATTGCCACCCCAAGGGCCCTCACCCAACTTCTGGAAATAGTCCCGTTTCTGCTGGAAGCTCTTGGGCCGCCGGGGCCTGTCTTCAGCCTTCTGTGAGGTCTCCTGTGGCAGGAGGGGAAAGAGAAGGAGCTGCCCTGCCAGACAAGTTGCCACTCACAGAGCAAACCCACCCGGATCCGTGGGGCTGGAGCCTGGCAGCATCTTTTCTGCATCTTCCCGCACACCCCACGCCATGTCTCCCACTTCTGTGGCCTTGGAGCCTGCTGCCCCACCCCAGCCCTGCCACCTGCCTGGCCTCGGCTCTTCACCCTCAGGCAGGCACCTACCAGTTCCAGGTCACGCTCTGGCTCCTTCTGGGGGGTGGGTGTCTTCTTGGGCTTGGGGGTGATGGCTGGGGGTAGAGTCAGGGAGGCAGCTCCAGGGGCCTGGGCCTGGGCATGATGCTCCAGGGGCTGGCTCTGGCGCTGCTTTGCCTGCTGCTCAAGGGACAAGGTCATGGCCTGGGTGGTCATCTGCTGGGCCTGACGGAGGAAGGGTGGTGTGCCAGGTAAGAGCTGGCCTAGCCTCGCCCCACAGGTCTGTAACCACTAGGCAATCCATGGGCCCTGCCCATCCTCACCAGGATCAGCGCCTGCTGGTTGATGAAGTTCTGCTGCTGGACTGCCAGCTGCCTCGCGTCCATGCTGGGAAGCAGGGGCTGTGGCTGTGGCTGTGGCTGCGGCTGTGGTGGCACCACAACGGCTGCGAGTATGGCAGGCAGTCAGGGTGGACGAGCGCCATGGCTGAGCTCCCAGCCCTCTGCCCACTGTGCCCTCTAGGCCCCAGGCAACACCCTCCCTCCTCTAGTCCCTACCTGAGAAGGGACACAGTGGCTATAGTCCAGCCTTACCTGGCATGGCAGGGACCGCCCCCATTGCTGGCATCATGGGCACGGGTGCAGGCATCATGGCTGGCTGGTATCCGGGCATCTGCATCATCCCTGAGTACACTGAGGGAACAGGGCCCCCCCCCAGGTCGGTCCCTACTTGGGCCCACAGACAGCCTCCCTTTAGCCCCAGGCAAAGAGAAGAGTACGGGCCACCAGGGTGCTGGCCAGAGCTCTGATTGCAGCTGCGTGGGGATCCCAGGCCGTGCTTGCCTGTGTTGCTGGGCAGGGAGGCCCTGGATGGGTGCTCAGCCCCACACTCACCCACGGGATAGCTGCCTTGCTGCATGGGCCCCATGGCGCCCCCTCCCTTCATGCGGCCACTCAGAGCCCTGCCTTGCTCCAGATCCTGAAGGAACAAAAGTCACAGGTCCCAAGGTCAGAGCTAGAGCCCTAGGAGGGATGGGAGGGGCAGCAGAGGCCCCAGGGGCGTAGGGGCAGCAGTGGGGTGGGGTCTGCGTGCAGGACACTCACGCTGAGGCACGGGGACAAGAGGTGGTCCAGGAAGCCATCCAGACTCCCTGAGGTCCGGGAGTCACCTGTGGAGGGTTACTGTCACCTGCCTGGGGCGTGGGACTTCTGGCACGCCCATTCCCAGCGCTCTGCCAACCTCAGTGTGCCCACTCCCAGCCTTACCTGTGCGACCCCTGCTGGGCAGAGTTGGGGCTGGGCCTGGAGGGGGACCTGGGGGCAGTGAGAGGGCCTGGATGCCAGGGGCCGGGGGGATGTCCTCGGCTCTGCAGGAGACAGTGGGCCCAGCTGAGGAGGTGGCCTGGCCGGGGGGGTTCCCAGGTTGAGGCAAGGTGTAGAAGCTGCTGTAGGGGTCATCCCCCTGCAGTGGGCGGAGGCTTGGGGGCGGGCGGGCGGGCTGGGCCTGTGGCAGCACCTGTGAACCTCCGCGGATGACAGGGTGGCTGAGGGGGTCACCTACGACAGGATAGGGACAGGAGCAGGCCAGGGGTGCTGTGGGTGGCACCTACAAGCCACGGGGGGCGATTGGGTAGCTGTGGGGACCGGCCGGGTCCCCCAGATCCTCGGTCCGGCCGATCAGGTCCAACACGAAGTCGCAGCCAGCCAAGTCCTGCCAGGAGTCCTTAGAGTGCAGTGACACAGACCAGCCACGCGGGGGCGGATCCAGGCCTCTGGGTGAGACAAGGGCATGGAGCAGAGGGTGGTCAGCCAGGCAGGCGGACGACCATCCGGAAGGGACAAGGACCTGAGGGTGGGCTGGGGGGAGGGGGTTGTGGAAGGGGACAGGAACCTGGCTGAGGACCCAATGCAACTCACAGCCCTCTACTTTATCTGCAACTCACAGCCCTCTACTTCTACAGTGGCTCTGATGCATTTGTTCATTCAATTTGATGAGAATCTGGACCAGATCCAGCAGGTATACTCTCTACTTGCTCTCCGTCTTGAATCTACTGTCTGGACCCTGCCCACCTACCCCGACCCCTCGCCCCCATCCCGCCCCCCGGGGAGCAGGTTTTGGCCTTGGAGCAGCCGCAGGAGGTGCTTGGCGGGAGAGCGGGCTGGGAGCATGAGGAAAACCAGGAGGTGGACAGGACAATGGCCAGTGTGGGCTGCGCTCGCCCATCCCAGGCCCCGCACACCTGCTCTGCAGAATCCGCCCGGCGAGTTGCTCCCCTGTGGTCCAGGACTCCACCTCGGCCGAGAAGCACTCCTCTGCAGGGACGAGGGGTAGGGGCAAGAGTGAGGGACAGCAGGGTCCACCCGGACGGGAAGGGAATACTGTCCCGTGGCGGTTCCGAAAGCAGGAGAGCAGGGAGGTCAGGGTCACATGGGGAGGGCTGAGGAGGGAAGGGGGTCGAGGGAGGGCGAGAGTGCCGGGCAGGCTGCAGCGTGGGCCTGGGGAGGCCCGAGAGGAGGCAGGCGTCACCGGTGAAGGTGAAGACATCCAGCGCCATGCGGCCCTGCCTCCATCCGGCCGTCCACTCGAGCTGGGTGGGTGGGTGGGCCCGCTCGGACCCAGGGGCCCGCTGCGTCTGCTGCAGGGCTCCCAGCAGCCTGTGCTGGCACAGTGCTGCCATGCCCCCGGGGGCCTGGTCGGACACGAATCTGCGGGCACAGCACAGGGCTGCCGTGGGTATGGGGTGGCCCGCTGAGCACACCCACAGGGCCCCCGTCTGCCGGGGCCCTTACTTGAGCAGCGGCTTCTGCAGGGTGGACACCGGGGGGAAGGCACCGAGCAGAACAGCCAGGAGGGCCCAGCCGCGCTGCCTCTGCTGCTCGTCCGGCTGGTGCCAGAGCTGGGCTGCGAGCTGACTGAAGAGCTCGTTGCGCAGCCCTGGCCGGCGCTGCCCCTGCCGCACCAGGTACTGGCCCATGGTCCGCTCCTGCCAGGGCTCCAGGGACGCGTCCCCCAGGAACCGCAGCATCTACAAGCACAGAGCGAGGGGAGGCAGGGCGTGGGGGCTCCCGGTGCCCGGCCAGCACCCCTTGCACGGGCCCACCCTGCCCCTCCCCAGTGTGTCACTCACCACCTTGTTGATATCCAGGGCATGCTGAGGGTTCTCACTGTCCAGCCGGGTCAGGGGTTTGGTCAGCAGCTGCCCAGGTCTGGGCAGGGATGGCTCCTGCAGGGAAGGAGGGCGACACAGTGCCTGAGCAGGGGCTGTTGTGTGCTGACCTGCCAGACACAGCCGCGGGGGAGCCCCAAGGGGGCACGCGCCCCGCGAGAGGAAGAGGGGCCGGTGAGGAAAACCATCTTAAAAATACATCTCGGGGGGCTTCCCTGGTGGCGCAGCGGTTAAGAACTCGCCTGCCAGTGTAGGAGACATGGGTTCGAGCCGTGGTCAGGGAAGATCCCACATGCCGCGGAGCAGCTAAGTCTGTGCACCACAACTGCTGAGCCTGCGCTCTCTAGAGCCCGCGAGCCACAACTACTGAAGCCCGCGTGCCTAGAGCCCGTGCTCCGCAACAAGAGAAGCCACCGCAATGAGAAGCCCGCACACCGCAACGAAGAGTAGCCCCCGCTCACCGCAAATAGAGAAAGCTGCGTGCAGCAACAAAGACCCAATGCAGCCAAAAATAAATAAATAAATAAATTTATTAAAAGAAAAATACATCTTGGGACTTCCCTGGTGGTCCAGCGGTTAAAAGTCCCACGCTCCCAATGCAGGGGGCTGGGGTTTGATCCCTGGTCAGGGAACTAGATCCTGCATGCCACAACTAAAAGGGGTCCCGCATGCTGCAACTAAAGATCCTGCACAGGCAACGAAGATCCCGTGTGCCGCAGCTAAGACCTGGCGCAGCCAAATAAATAAATAAATATTAAGAAAAAAAACCTCTCAATCACTCCTTCTGATTAGAAAACTAAAGCTCGTGCATGCGGAAAACTCAGAAAACACGGAAAAGGGTGAAGAATAAAAACCACCATTAACATTCCACTGCCAGATAAAACCACAGTTAACATTTTCGCCTCTTTGTTTCTAATCTTACTTTCTACGTGTAGGTACACACGTCATCTCCCCACCCTCCCTGTTTACAAAATTGGGATCGTACTCTACGTGCAGTTTTGAATCCCGCTTTTGCTGGACACTTTGCCTTGTCATTCAACATGCTTTAACGACATGGCTTCAATGGCAGGGCAGTGCCACAGGTGTAACAAAGGTGTGGCACTGCAGATAAGTAACCAGCAACACGTTTAGGTTCAACGGTTTCCGAGCAACGCAGTTGCATCCACAGCCCCGCAACAGGAGAGGGAGGAGGGGACTGGAGACAGAAGGACAGACACAGCTTCTGCCTGACGGGGGCTAACGTCTGGGCAGACGTGGGCATCAGCTGTGTAGAGCTAAGGCCTGGGGGCCCACCTGAAAGCCGATGGAGATGAAGCTGGAGAAGGGGAATTGGTCGATGTCGGGTGGGAGGGTCAGGCTGGGCCGTGCGGGAACTTCCGGGGGCATGGCCTCGGTGATGTTCTCGGCCAGGGTGTGCTGACAGCCTGGGATGACGTAGGCGGCAGCCCAGAAACGCCCAGGTAAGGCGCCTGGCTCTGGCGCCGCCTCCACCTCTCAGCATCAGCCCCCAGCTCCAGTGCAGAGGGAGCCGGGCAGTGAGCTGGGGGGACCCAGAGCATCAGAGGGAGGGACCACAGGGACAGAGCCTCCGCCCAGGAGGGGGTCATGGCAAGAGCGACGCCCATCAGGACTCACCTTCCGCTGTCTTCAGCATGACAGCCAGCTCAGCCGGGATCTCCAAGTGCCCCAGCTCCTAGCAGGGAGGAGCAATTGACCAGGAACTAAGGGAAGGGGCATAGGAACCCAGGGGCCCTCCTCACCCCCAGGGCTGTAAGCTTCCCCTCCAAAGACCAAGGATTCTAGTCCTGGACACTCAAACAAATAAAGCCCCCAGAGGGAAACCAAGAGCACCCCAGGCCTCTTCTTGGGGGACAATGGATGGGCCTGAGGGACAGGACCCATCTCGGCACCCCTGGAACCCCACGCTCCCCCTCAAGCCAGGCCAGGTTCAGCAGGCTCACAACCCGGCAGACACCCTCCAGCTTCCAGGCCACCTACCATGCTTGGCCCCTTCTTGGAGGCCCCGACGCTGTGCCAGCTGCACCGATGCCCAAGCTGTTGGGGGAGATGCAGGAGGAGACGATGCCCCCGTGAGGTGCCACCAGGAGCTCCCTAGAGGCCCCTCCCCCGCTCAGCAGTGCAGCTGCCCCCTCCTCCTCCCAGGAGGACCCCACACCAGTGGAGGAAGGGGTGCAGACCCAGGGGGCCAGCTGTCTGCCCCCAGCCCTCCAGAGCCCTCACTAGCCTTAGCGCTGTGGCTGTCTCTGCCCGTCTGCCAGGGCACCGGGAAGAGGAGGGAAGAAGGGAAGGAATGGTCCCAAGGGACAAAGTCCAGCCAGGGAGGGGCCAGAGAGTGGGGCAGTACGTGGGCATTGACCTTTGAGCTGTTTTATGGCCCTCAGATTGGAGTCACAGGGCAAGAGGGGAACAGTCCAAGGGAGGCCTGGAGGGGATGGGAGGCACCCCCAGCCAGCAGGGGAGAGTCAGGCCCTGGCAGTGGGCAGGCATGAAGGAAGGCGACAGCCTCCTGGAGGCCCCAGGCTACCCTGGCCAGGCAGAGGGGGATGGAAGGAGCTCCACCAGCAATGGTCTCCGAGGCCTCGGTCCTCGTGGGGCTACACTTGGAGGGTGGACACTGTCGGGATTTGGCCAACGTGGCCGGCAAGGCTGCCTGGCTTCTCCCCTGAGCTGCCCTGGGCAGGACCCATCCATGTGCTTCACCTGCCCTCTCCGCTGTCTCCAGAGCAGGCGCCGGCCCGCCAGCAGGATGGTGTTCAGCTGCCCCAGAGCTGCCCGCCGCTGGAGGTACCACTTCCTGGAGGCCGGGAAGGGGGTTGGTGAGGAGTCCAAACTCACAGCCGATACCTGAATCCTCCAAGCCAAGACATGAATGTAAAATCGGACCCCAGTGAAGCCCCCGGCTGCCGAAGGGAAGCAACAGGGAAAGGACGCGACACTTCGAAAGACCAGCAGGTAAACTGAGATGCTGCTGTGTCCGAGGATCAAGATCTGGGACTCTGGCGCCGACCACCCAGGCTCGTTCCCCTACCGTTTAGTCACTGCGGTCTTGGATAAGTTACTTTACCTCTCTGGGGTTTATCTGCTTTTGTTTTTTGGCCACGCCGCATGGCATGTGGAATCTGAGTTCCCCAACCAGGGATCAAACCCGGCCCTGGCAGTGAAAGCGCTGAGTCGTGGACTTCCCTAGTGGCGCAGTGGTCAAGAATCCGCCTGCCAATGCGGGGGACACAGGTTCGAGCCCTAGTCCGGGATGACCCCACATGCCGCGGAGCAACTAAGCCTGTGCGCCACAACTACTGAGCCTGTACTCTAGAGCCCACAAGCCACAACTACTGAAGCCCGTGTGCCTAGAGCCCGTGCTCCGTGACAAGAGAAGCCACCGTAATGAGAAGCCTGCACACCACAAGGAAGAGTAGCCCCTGCTCGCCGCAGCTAGAGAAAGCCCGCATGCAGCAAGGAAGACCCAACACAGCCAAAAATAAATAAATAAATAAATTTATTAAAAAAAAAAAAAGAAAGAAAGAAAGCGCGCGCTGAGTCCTAACCACTGGACCGCCAGGGAATTCCCTACTTTACCTCTGTGTTTTATTTTCATCATCTCTAAATTGAGAAGTATTGTAATGCCTGCCCCACGATAAGATGAAATGAATAGAGTCTGGCATATTATTACTTAAGAAGCAGAGCTTCTAAAAAATGAAAAAATAACATTCACTGGAAGTCTAACAGGAGATCCCGGAAGAGACAATATCTTTGAGAATTTTCCAGATATAAGAAAGACCAGACTCCTCAATGAAGGAGCCCTGAGCATGATAAATATTTAAAAATAAATCTATATATACTACTAGACATAACATAGATAAACAACAAGGGTCTACTGTATAGCACAGGGAACTATATTTAATATCTTGTAATTACCTATAATGGAAAAAAATCTGAAAAAGCGTATATATATGTATTATGTATGTATGTATATATTTGTAACTGAATCATTTTGCTGTACAACTGAAACATCGTAAATCACTATACTTCAATAAAAACATAAATAAATCTATAGCTTTTGTACATAAAAGGACACTTTCAAGAGAATGAAAAGAGGGCTTCCCTGGTGACGCAGTGGTTGGGAATCCACTTGCCAATGCAAGGGACATGGGTTCGAGCCCTGGTCCGGGAAGATCCCACATGCTGTGGAGCAGCTAAGCCTGTGCACCACAATTACTGGGCCTATGCTCTAGAGCCCGTGAGCCGAAACTACTCAGCCCACATGCCACAATCACTGAAGCCCGCGTGCCTAGAGCCCATGCTCCACAACACGACAAGCCACCGCAATGAGAAGCCAGCACACCACAACAAAGAGTCGCCCTCGCTTGCCGCAACTAGAGAAAGCCCATGTGCAGCAACGAAGACCCAATGCAGCCAAAAATGAATAATAAATTAAATAAATTTTAAAATTTTAATTTAAAAAAGAGAATGAAAAGACAACCCACGTAATGGGAGACTACTTGCAAATCACACATTTGATAAAGGTTTAATATCCAGAACATATAAAGAACTCCTACAACTCAATGAAAAAAAAAACAACCCAATTAAAAAGCAGGCAGAGGGGGACTTCCCTGGTGGCATAGTGGTTAAGAAATCGCCTGCCAACGCAGGGGACAAGGGTTCGAGCCCTGGTCCGGGAAGATCCCACATGCTGCGGAGCAACTAAGCCTGTGCACCACAACTACTGAGCCTGCGCTCTAGAGCCCACAAGCCACAACTACTGAGACCGCAAGCCACAACTACTGAGACCGTGTGCCACAACTACTGAAGCCCACGCACCTAGAGCCCGTGCTCCGCAACAAGAGAAGCCACCGCAATGAGAAGCCCGCGCACCGCAACGAAGAGCAGCCCCTGCTCACCGCAACTAGAGAAAGCCCACGCACAGCAACGAAGACTCGACACAGCCAAAAATAAATAAATAAATAAATTCCCATAGAAAAAAAAAAGCAGGCAGAGGACTTGAATAGATATTTCTCCAAAGAGATACACAAATGGCCAAGAAGTACATGAAAAGATGCTCAACATCATTAGTCATTAAAGAAATGCAAATCAAAACCACAATGAGATACCACCTCACACCCACTAGGATGGCTATCATTTAAAAAGCAGAAAATAACAAGTATTGGCAAAGATGCAGAGAAACTGGGACCTTCACACATTGCTGGTAGGAATATAAAATGGTTCAGCCGCTGTGGAAAACAGTTTGGCAATTCCTCAAAAAGGTAAAGACAGAGTTACTGTATAACTCAGGATTTCCACTCCCAGATAGAGACCCAAAAGAACCAAAAGCAGAAACTTGAACAGTTACTTGTACACTTGTGTTGATAGCAGCCTTATTCACAATAAGCCAAAAGGTAGAAACAACCCACTGACAGATAAGTGGATAAACAAAATGCGGTCCATCCACACAATGGAACAATTTTCAGCCATAAAAAAGACATGAAGTTCTGACACATGTTACGACAGGGACGAACCCTGAAAACGCTATGCTTAGTGCAGTAATGTAAAAGGAATTTCTATGAGTCAACTTAGACGGCATATCTAGAATAGGCAAATTCAAAGCAATGGAAAGCATACTGGAGGTTACCGGGGGCGGGAGGGAAGGGAGAGGGAGGCATCATTGCTGAATGGGTATAGAGTTCCCGCTGGTGATGAAAACGTTTTGGAAACATATAGTGGTGACGGGTGCCCCCTTCTCCGAGGCTTCCCTGGTGTCCATGGTACTGCCTTCATTTTGTTCTCAGTCCTTAAACAATCCCCTTTGGGGCGACTGGAAGCTGGTTTACTGTCTGCATCTGACTCCCCAGCTAGCCTGGAAGGCACCATCTCTGTGCCTGTGTGAAGATGCTGGCACCTTCCTCCCTGTGTTGCCAGCACCTGGCCCAGGGTAGATGGAGAAGATGGTCAACCAACAGCTGTTGGATGGATGAGTGAAGACGGGCAGTGAAGGGTGAGTGGGGATGGAGCTAATGAGGCGAGAAGGGTGAGGGGAGCATCATAGGACCACGAAGCCCAAAGAGCCTGGAGTGTAAAAGTCCGGCCTACATCGAGGCTGGAGAAGTAGGCAGGGCCTCACACAACCTGATTCACGCTTTTAAAAGAGTATTCTTGCTGCAGAGTGGAGAACAGATTAGAAAAAAGAACAGTCAAGGAGTCAAGACCGCAGGTTTGACTGGCCTATCAGGTAATGAGCTTCTCGTGGCTGGGGGTATTCAAGCAGAGACGGCATGGTGGGGATGCCAGCAAGGAGAGTCCGGTGCTGATGGGAAGCAGGCAGACTAGCCTTGAGGCCCTACGCCCCCCCGACCCTGCCCCACCACCGTGAGGAGGCCTACAGTCTCGCCCCACTCTGCACACCTGGCCTGGAGCCCACGCACGCGAATCCGTGGTAGGAGGCGAAGGCGTTGACAGGAGAGGCTGGTGCAGAGGCCTCGGTGCAGGGTGAGCAGGGCCTGGGCGCGCTGCTGGGCCCGGTGCCGCTCCAGCTGCTGCCAGCCCAGCTCCCGCAGTAGCACCTGGGGGCAGAGGTTTGGGCTGGGGGCAGGCCAGGTGGCTGGAGACCACCCTGCCCTTCTCCCGAGGCCTCAGCCTCCTCCTTTCTGCCAAACTATTGATTCTACTGGGGTGCCCGGGACACCCGGCCCACTCCATCTCCCCACCACCCAGAAGGACCACCAAATCATGAGTTGGTCCCAAAATGTTCCTCCCACTTTCCAGCCATACCTGCTGCTTCCCTGCTCATACACACCACCCACCTGGGTGGCTCCCAGGTGACAGAGGGGCGACTCAGCCCCAAACACCTGGTTCAGGATGGCGCCACATCTTTCCCGGTCAGAGAGCTCTTCCTGTCCCTCTGTCCCCAGGGCCCGGAACCTGCCCCAAGGACGGAGAACCTTGCGGAGGTCGGAACAAGCACAGCAGGGACCTCCCTCCACGCTCATTTGACCCCTGAATCCCTTGGGGTCTATTCAGTCTATAAGTAATTCAACAATGATTTGGAAAGCACCTACTATGTGCCAGGCACTAAGGAGAGTTTTGCTGAGAGGACAAGGGGCAGGTGAATGCACAGAGCCGTGGAGAGGTGTGTGGGTGACGAACAGTGAAAGGAGACGCAGATGGAGGAAGAGAAGGAGAGACAGAGAGAAAGGAAGGAGGGCGGGTTGGACGTCAGGCCCAGGGTCCCTGGGAAAGTGTGTCCATCCCCCGCTCCCGAAAAAGCCCCAGGTCCGCCAGCCACTCCAGGGGGCCTTCCTAGTGAGCCCTGGCCCTGAGGTGCCTGCGCCCCGGGGCTGCCCGCATCCTGGGCCCCTACCTGGCCAGGAAGGCCTGGAAAGGCACGCGAACGGGGAAGTTGGCGCTGCGGGTACACACAGCCTCCAGGATGCCCGCCTGGCGCAGTTGCTCTGCCACGTGACCCACATCAAAGAGGCCCGGAAGCTGTGGCCACGGGGCAGAGCCAAGGAGAGCTGAATTGAGGGGCTCAGAGCTGTGGGGAAGGTGGGGCAGGGCTGAGGAGGGCTGAGGGGGGCGGGCAGGGGTGGGAGGGCTCTGGCGCCAGGTGCTGGGAGAGCTCACCTTTCCCGGGTTGGGGTTGAGGCACTGGATGAAATAGACATGGCTCCTGGTGGGTGGAAGGGGCGGTCACTTGAGCACAGACTGGCCCCTCCATTCAAACTCCCTGGGGTTGAGTGTGGGGGGCCCTATTCTCACCTGCCCAGCCGGGCTAGGAGGTCCCCCAGGGAATGCTGGAAGCGAGAGGTCAGCGTGGGTTTGCCTGGTCCGTCCCCAGACTCGGGCTCTGCTTCCTGGAACAGGCTACCCACCAGCTGTGGGGTGAGAGGGGGCCAAGCCAGCTCACCTGGGCCTGTCCAGCCTGCCCCTCACCCCAACCCCCGGGGAGCCAGGGTGGGCCGGCCAAAGGTTCAGGTTGCCAGGGGCTTGAAGACCAGCTCCTTGGGCAAGGCTGTCAGGGTGGAGAGGGCAGAATGGGGGGACAGGGCGGCTGGCAGGGGCACCTGGAGCTGGCTCTGGGCAAGCATTTCCACCACAGCAGGGTCAAGATGATCCTGGTTTCTGTTTAAAAACTTGTGAACCTGCAAGAGATAATGTGGGGGTGGGGGGAGGGGAAGCCAAGGAGAGAAGGCTGGGTGTGGAAGCCAGTCCCTTTGCAAAATAATCCAGCCTCTCCCCTCTGAGTTATAAGGCCACCTTTGACACAACACTGTAAATCAACTATACTTCATTAAAAAAAAATGTCTTACAAAGGCCCCCTTTGAAGTTGGACTCATCTCACACCACGTACCAAAATTAACTCAAAATGAATGGATCAAAGACCCAGATGTAAGACCTGAAACTATAAAACTCTTAGAAGAAAACAAAGGGAGAAAGCTTCATGACATTGGACTTGGCAATGATTTCCTGAATATGACACTAAAAGCACAGGCAACAAAGGAAAAATAGATAAACTGGATTTCATTAAAATGAAAAACTTTTGTGGTACTAAGAGGGTGAAAAGACAGCCTACAAAATGGGAGAAAATATCACATATAGTGGGTTAATATGCAGATTATGTAAAGAACTCCTACAACTTAACAACAACAAAAAAATAAAACAACTCAATTCAGGACTTCCCTGGTGGCACAGTGGTTAAGGATCCGCCTGCCAATGCGGGGGGCACTGGTTCGATCCCTGGTCCAGGAAGACCCCACATGCCGCATAGCAACTAAGCCCATGCACCACAACTACTGAGCCCACATGCCACAACTACTGAAGCCCACACACCTAGAGCCCGTGCTCCGCAACAAGAGAAGCCACCAAAATGAGAAGGCCGTGCACCGCAATGAAGAGTAGCCCCCTGCTCGCTGCAACTAGAGAAAGCCTGCGTGTGGCAACGAAGACCCAAGGCAGCCAAAAATAAATAAATAAACCCCAAACCAACTCAATTCAAAAATGGGCAAAGGACTTGAATAGATATTTCTCCAAAGATACACAAATGGCCAAGAAGCACATGAAAAGATGCTTGACATCGTTAGTCATTAGAGAAATGCAAATCAAAACCACAATGAAAAAAAAAACAAACAAAAAAACCCAATGAGATACCACTTCACACCCACTAGGATGACTATAATTTTCAAAAATGGAAAATAACAAGTATTTGCAAGGATGTAGAAAAACTGGAACCCCCAGTACATTGCTGGTGGGACTATAAAATGGTGCAATCACTGAATAGTTTGGTGGCTCCTCAAAAAGGTAAACATAGCATTACCATATGACCCAGCAAACCTACTCTTAGGCAGATACCTAAAAGAATTGAAAGCAGCGACTCAAACAGTTACTTGTACACCCATGTTCACAGCAGCGTTATTCACAATAGCCAAAAAGGTGGAAACAATTCATGTCCATCAGCAGATGAATGGATAAACAAAATGTGGTCTATACATACAACGGAATATTATTCAGCCATAAAAAGGAAGGAAATTCTGACACATGCTACAACATGGATGAACCTTGGAAGCATTATGCTTAATGCAATGAGTCAGACACATAAGGATTGTGTGTGTGTGTGTGTGTTCTGATTCCACTTACATAAGAATAGGCAAATTTATAGATACAGAAAGTAGATTAGATATTGCCAGAGTCTGAGGAAGGGGGAATTGCAGCTTAATGTTTAATGGGTAACTTGTTTCTGTTTGGGATAATGAAAAAGTACTGGAAATGGATAGCAGTGAAGGTTACAAAACATTGTGAATGTAAAGACACTGAAATGTACACTTAAAAATGGTTAGAATGGGAAGTTTTATGTTGTGTATACTTTACCACATTTTTTTAAAGGCCGTCTTTGTCACATACCCAGTTCTTTGTTACACTTTTGGGTCTGTTTATTGGGTTTTCACTTCTGTCTCATTGATGGGTCTGCTCCTTATCAATACCATACTCTTTTAATTGCTAGAGCTTTAAAATATGTTTTAATATCTCATAGAGCAAATTCCTCCATAATCATTTGCTTTTTATATCTTATTAGCTATTCTTATGCATTTATTTTCCATATAATACTTCAGAATAATTTTGTTAAAATCCACCTCTCCTTCTCTCATAAAAGCCCCATTGGAGTATTGTCTGGAATTACATGACTTTTCTAGATTAACTGGGAAAGAGTGAACATTATAGGGCTCCCCAACAGGAATGTGGCTTTTCCCTCCATTTTTAAGTCTTCTTTTGTGACCTCCAATACAATTTTATAGTTTTCTTTAGTCAATCTCCTTCTGTTTCTTCCTTTTTTCTTTTAGATGTGATTTTTTTTGAGGTATAATTGACATATACTCCTTGTGTTTCACGTGTGGATAACTCCTGTGTAGTTTGTATGTTTTCTTCTACAACCAGAGCATGTCACCTCCTCCAGGAAGCCTTACCTGACTTGCCCCACCTCAAACCAGTCACCTGGTCCTAGCCTTTAAACCAGGCCCCCTCCCTTCAGCAGCTCTCCTCCTGGGTAGGTGTGCAGTAGTCATGAAACTCATAAAGGGGAGAGGAGAATCCCTTCAGTGAGCACCTAGTATCTGCCAGGCACCTGACCCGCCATTTCCATGTAATTGCATTAATCCTCAGGACAATGCTATAGGCTGGACTCCCATTCCCCTTTTACAGATGAGGAAATGGAGGCTCAGAAGGAGAAGTAGACTGCCTGAGGTTATCAGAGCCACGTCCCATGCATACACTCTGCCCCTCTTGGACTGGAGGGTCCCAAGGCCTTGACCCTCCCCACCCCATAATGCCCACCCAGAACTCAGTAAGTCATGCACTAGGTGAGGCCAAGGGGCCAGGTGGGGACAGATGGCCAAGCCTTGGAAGGGGCCTCCCCACACCTACCCCTCTCACCCGTCAGGTGACTCCCCAGGGTCACATTGCCCTCACTGATTCACCCTGATACCTGGTAGGTGACGGTCCCAGCGTAATGACGCACAGTGAAGATGGGAAGGGGCAGCTGGGGCTTGGTGTAATGCGGGTGGTCGCCGTGGTAGTAGTGGCACTTCTGCAGGAAGGTGTGGTCCGTGGCCTGAGAAGAGGAAGAGCTTCTCAGGCCTTTGCAGGTGCCATTCCCCTGCTGGGACTGTGCTTCCCTCCCCTGCCCCCCAAAACCACATGCACTGAACAGAAGGTGAGCTTTGGTTTTGGTCCCCAAACTTCTTTTTCAGGAAGAGTCACTCCACATCTGAGTACTTATAAAGGGCACAGCTTCTATCCCAGGGACTATTTTGAACAATTGGTTCCCATTTGAGAAAAAACACAGTAGCCTTGTATACCTCAGTCAATAAGATTTGGCGGCTTAGAGGACCCTTGATGAAATCATTTAAAAGAAATGGGGCTAGGGGAACTTTAAGGCAGATTTAGCAATCATTCCTGGGAGTCTGGTCTCACAGTTACATGTGTTTCTGAACAAGTCTTTCAAAGATACTTTTAAAAAGCCATCCGGTAAGAGATTATTTTATAGTGCTAAGGAACTTATAACAACAAATACTTGGGGAAACCCTCACAAGCCCCTCATGGGGCCTGCACAGTCCCCACCACCCTGCCCCTCAGGCACAATTTTCCCCCTTCTGCAGGAGGACTCTTGGAGAAGTCGGGAATCTCACTCAGGATCACCCAGAGACAGGATTTGAAGCCAGTTTGGCCACTGCTTTCCCAAGCTGCGCTGAGGGCCTGTGGGCAGGGTCCCAGGACCTCAGCACTTTATTGCTACCCTGGGAGTTCCTGCTGGCTCTGGCCTGGCCACCAGGGCCCGCACTCCTTGTCCCCGACACTGAGGGCTCACCTGGGACAGCCATGTCTGGGCATCCAGGATATTCAGGAGGCTGTGGGGCTGGTCTACCAGGAGATCCAAGCAGGACTCCTGTGGAGGCTGGGGGATGGGCACCCAGGGCAACAACTCCCTCCGACACTCCTCCTGGGAACAGCCAGCATTTAGTTTACAGAGACCATCCATGTTCATGGGGGGACCTCATCTGAGCCAGAGCAAGGATGGCCCTCCCACTTTACAGATGAGTAAACTGAGCCTCAGAAGGACTGAGACGGCCCATAGCAAGGGGGCTTTGGGGCAGAGCTCTCGGTGTAGTACCTTCTCTTTACCAGGGATGGCCTCTGTTCTGGGAAACAGCTGGGTGTCCCCCTGCCACCTCCATGCCCAGCTCCCCATACCTCCTCCTGGGCCAGAAGCATCTGGCTAGAGAAGAGCTGCAGGCGCTCGCTGGCGAGATTGTTGCACAGCTGCTCCAGGCCGTTGACCCGCAGTGCCTGGGAGGGGCGCGTGGGCAGTGAGGTGGGCACCCACACGAGGTGGGGGCACAGGGCAGCTGGTCGGGGGTCTAGCACACAGGCCTGGTTCCCTTCATCCCCCTCCCACAGCTGCCCCCATTCTCCCCAGCACTAGGCGGGAGTGGTGCCCTAGGGCTGATGCTTCCTCCTCCAGGGACAAGACCAAAGATCCTGACACAGCATGCAGGCCGCCTCAGCCCAGTCCCAGCCTCGATCATGCTTCCTCCCTCCAACAACCCACACCCCTGCCTTCTGCCTTAGCACCACTGTGAGCCTTCGGGCCTCTGATCATAGCCATCCTGTGGTCTAGAAGACACCTCTTGCTACAGCCTAACTCGCTGGCTATCAGAATGCCACATCCTCGTAAGCAGAGCTCCAGGCTGCCGCCTCCAAGAAGCCTTCCAGCATCCCTCCTGTTGGAATTACAGGCTCCTTCCTCTGTGCCCCTCAGCACTTTCCTAGTAAGCCCAGCAGAGCCCCCGCTTCGTGTAGCTTTGCACAGTTTTGACATGTTCTAAAATACACACAAGAGCACGCATGTGCGTACATGCGCGCGCACACACACACACACACACGGGCAACGGTCATCCCCTCCTCAGAGAGCGGATAGTCACCAAGGACACACTGGAGAGGAGGAGAGAGCAGGGGACTGGGCACAGTGCCCATCCAAGGACTGAGGTGGGGGCCACCTCCTCTTGCTCTCGCCCCTCCTCCCTGCCTTGAGGAAACAGGATGTTCTGGAAAGGGGTGAAGAGCTTATGAAAAACTCAGTGTGATTTGGGGGATTCCCTCTCTTCCCTCTCCTCTGGGTACACAGCAGGCGAGGCTGACCCATCCGAGGGTATTTCATTGTCTTAAGGGCTCCTGTGAGACTCTGCAAGGCCAAGCAGGCAGAACTCTCCAGAGCCGACGTCAGGGCTGGACAGGGCAGATGGCTGTACCTATGGAGCACGCAGCTGTCTCGTGGACCATCTTATGGTCAGAAAGGCAAGCAGCGCACGAGCGCCCCCACAAAGGGAAGCTGCTGGGGTCCCCAGAAATAACCAGGATGAGGTGGGCACCCCGTCCTGGGCCCCGCCCCCAGGGGTGACCTCAAAGCCGTAGACATCGACGACAGTGACAGTGACCACGCTGCCTCCCTCCCCGGGGGGTGCCAGCCGCACATTGGTTCTCCTCAGAAGCCAGGTGAAGAGCCGCGAGTACAGGGCCTTGGCCAGGGCGTCCCTGTGGGCATGGGGAGTGAGCCTCGTGCAGCAGGGGCCAGGCCTGCTCACAGCTCTCTCCTGTCCCCAGGGCCACCTGGCATTGATGGCACTTTCCACGGGCAGGGATCTCGAGACCCGGCCATAGGGCGTCTCCTGAGGGCAGAGGATGTGCATGTGGTACGTCAGGCCCAAGGCCCACACTAGTGCTCCCCAAGCCTTCGGGTGGACTGGTCAGGCCCCCGCCTCCCCAGGACCCCCGAGCTCACCATGACCCTCCTGGTGACAGCCCCCTCCAGGCGCTCGGGCGGCACCCGCAGCAACCGGGCTGCTGTGTGGATCTCAGCCCAGCTGGACACGGCAGCCACCTCCTGTGACTCCCTCTGGACAGGCGGGAGGGGGCAGGGAGAGCTCTGCTTGTGGACTGGCTGTTTCCCATGGGGCAGGGGCAGGGCCTTGCTTTGCCTGGCAAGGTGCCCTGTTACCCAAAGGTAGATCTGGGCAGGTAGGAGCTGGCTCCGGAGTCTGAGGGCCTGAGTGTGAATCCTGACTTTACCTCTCCACTAACTGGCGGCCCTGACAAGTCTCTTTCCTTCTCCGAGTCTCCACCGTCTTATTGTTAAAGGCGAAACAACAATTTTTATGTTATGGTGTTCTCAGGAGCAATGAATTAGAAAATATATGCAGGGAATTCCTCAGCGGTCCAGCGGTTATAGGACTCGGCACATTCACTGCCGGGGGCCCGGGTTCAATCCCTGGTCAGGGAACTAAGATCCCGCAAGCTGCGCGGTGTGGCCAAAAGAAAAAAAAAAAAAAAAGAAAATATATGTAGAGTGATCTACACAGTGCCAGGTACATAATAGCTGCTCAATTAATGCCAAGCATCCTCCTTAGGGTGGCAGTTTAGTGGGACAGGATCGGTATAGATGCAGAAGACCCTGGTTTCAGTTTTCTCATCTGTACGATGGGAGTTCATCTGCCTTCTGGGGCAGTGGTGAGGCCCTGACGGTGGCCCGGGGCCTTACTGTCTCCTAGACACAAGTGTTTGGCATTGTTATTTCTGCCCTCGTGATGATGCAAACAAGCCACCACCAATCCAGTGTCTCAGAGGGAGCTCACCTCTGAAGAGGAGAGGCAGATGTTGCCCAGCTGCAGGACAGAGGCCAGCACAGCCCAGACGGCAGTCAACTCCTCGGTGCACAAGCCCAGCACCTGCAGGGCCTTCACCAGTCCTGTGAAGTCCTGGGCATCCTCCTTGCCCCGGAGCCTGCAGGCCCGGCCCTGCAGAGCACAGCAGGGGTGAGGGGTGAGGAGTCTGGCCACCCGCAGCTTCCCTCTCCTCAGACCCTCCCCTGGGCAGGCCCCGTTGTCCAGCACCGAGGGGGCCTTCCCCCACCTGGTTGAGGTAGTAGTAGGTCTCCGGCCCCTGTAGGGAGAGCCGTTCCCGTTCCATGGGGTCCAGCCCCGCCAGCAGCTCATAAAAAACATGGAAGCTCCGCTCAGCCTGGGCCTCAGGGGAGAAGGACTGGCTTAGGGGGAGCAACGGCCTGGTCCTGTGCCCCAGGGGAGCAAGGACAAGTCCTGGGGAAGGCAGGCTTGGGGGCTGAGGGACCACAGCCGCTCACAGCGGCCCCTCCCTCTTTCCCGCTCTGGGAGCAGCGGGCCAGGTCATACCTGAAACACCACCCTCGAGGTCTCAAGCAGATAATGTGACACAGAGGCTCCCAGGATGACCCCTCTGTGGACACAGGACACTCAGTGAGGGACCCACCGTGGGCTAGGCCCAAGGGCAGCAGTCTCAGCTTCCCAGTAAGGGAAACTGATCATGGGTGACCCTGCCCACCTGGACCCCCGTCACTCACTGCTTCAGGCAGAGGCCTAAGACCTGGCCAAAGCGGCTGGCGTTGGCGTTGAGGACTGTCTTGGCGTGGCCAAAGCTGCTGAGCATGGGCAGCACGTCGTCCAGCTGGATGGGGGAGGGGCATTCAAGTACCCCTGGTAGCAGCAGTGGTGCCCACCGATCAGGCATCCCGGCCGAGGACACTATGTCCCTGGCAGCTCTGTTGGCCCACGGAGGGGTCAGTCACCCCAGCCCTCCCTGCCCCCGCAGTAGGCAATGCCTGGGGATGCCCCCGAGGGGAAGCCAGAGGCCTGAAGACCACCCTTCTGGCCCAAAGGAGTAGCATGGTCCCTCTTGGATCCCTGGGAAATGGCGAGCTGCCCCTCACCTGACATCCTCTGTCCCTTGTCTGCCCCTGCTCCAGGCTGCTTAGGAACTGCACAATCTTTCTGGAAGCTTCTGTCTTCCCAGAGCCGCTGTGCCCACTGCAGGAGGCACAGGCTGGCAGGGTCTCCAGGAAGGGGCACATAGGACAATCCCATTGAGCCCGAAAGTGGGGATATGCCCACCTGGAAGTGATACCTGCCCTAAAGGAGACTCCCAGAAATGCAGAAACATAGACCTGGGGCGTAGAGACCAAACAGAAAAAAGTCCCCAAGATGCCTCGTTCAAGGGGCACAGTCTTAGGAAGTCCAGAGCTGTTGCCCAGCAGTGGACCAGACAGGCAGTTTCAAATGCAGACCTCACATCCCCTTCCTCCTGGCCTTCAGTGTGGCCTGAAGGTTCAGCCAAGCAGGGCAGCCACCACTCACCCCAGGAGGATGCAGGTGCCCTGCCCAGTGCTCTGAGACAGGCTATAGGCTGCTGCCACGATGGCAAAGATGTGTCTGGGGGAGGAGGGTGGAAGCAGATGAGAAGGTTACCAGAGATGGGCATCTGGGGCCTCCTGGGCGTAGGCAGGTCGTGCCTGCCATGCCCTGGACCTCAGTCAATGGGACATGCTGGGGGTGAGCAGAGGGCTGGTGGGGCAAATTCACGTACGGGGTGGTGTTAGGGGTCTTCCTAGGGTGGTAGCTGGCCAGGACCTCAGGTGAGAAGAGAGGCAGGGGCCGGCGGGGGTTCAGAGCGAGCAGGAGGGGCCCCCCAAAGGTCTGGGAGGAAAGTGGAAGCTCTCATCAGAACATGGAGGGAGCAGGTGATGCAAATAGAGTGGAGCTCTGATGCCCCCGGCCCCTCCCCGCTCTGCAGGACCCCAGAGAGGGTTCAGCACCCAGCCCAGGGAGGAGAAAGATGGAGGGGAAAGCTCTCCAGGGGTGCCCGGAGGGCCCTCTGATCCCTGAGGAAAGGGAATCCCAGCCCACCATCCCCTCTTGGGTCTCCCGTACATAGATTCGGCCCAGGTAAAACCTCTTCTTGAGGCACAGCAGCACGGAGCTGTCGCACACCGGCCTGTAGGGAAGCAGGGTGGAGAAGCAGGGAGTTGGGGGCAGAAGATCCTGGGTTAGCGCTGCTACTGGCTGCAGAGACACTTCCACCAAGTCATGCACCCTCTCCGAGCTGGTCCATAATACAGGGGTCCGGCTGCTAAGCAAATTACCAGCGCCGTGGGCGCTACAAGCAGGACCAGGCTGCTGACCCAGAGGGAAGCTTTGTGCCAATTAGAGAAGGAAGGAGCACCTGATTCTCACCCCTCACCTGCCCCTTCCAACCAGACGACCTTGTGTGGCAAAATCCCATGTAAGGATACAATTCATAAAAGAACGGGGGTAGGATGGGATACGAGTAAGTGTGACCCAGGCATGGCAGGTTTGGGACCGCGCCCGCTCACCGCAGCCGGGCCAGGTCCTCGGTGTCTTCCAGGCCTTCCCCCAGGCTCCTGTCCTCGGCGCCGGGAAAGGGCGGCGCCTCCAGGCCCGGCCCGAGGCTCAGCTCCAGGTCCTTGTCCAGCGCCTCCTCGGTCTCATCCTCCGGCTCCCATCGATCCCTCAGGAACCTGCAGGGGCTCGGGCTCCTCTCCCGCCGCAGGCGGGTCTCCAAGATGAGTCGGGGCAGCAGTGCTTCGGTGCCAAACCCAGGGTCCTCCCGGGGGTCCTCGCCCTGTGCCCAGTGCACCGGAGCCTCGGCTCCCAAGGTCTCCGGCTCCGCTTCGCTGCTGGAGCCTCTCTCGAGTGGGGGCTCGTCGGAGGGAGTCGGGCCGAGAGAGCCGTGGCAGCGCCCGGCCACCCCTTCTCCACTCGCCCTGCGCCCCTCACTGTCCCCTGAAGCCCCCGCACAAGACGAAAAGTGCCCCTCCCCAGCGGGGGCGTCCGCGGACGCTTCCTCTGAGCTCTGGCTGCTCGAGGTCCTCCCTGCCCTGTGGATCCTGGGGAACATGACCGCAAACTTGGGATCTGGAGTCGGGTCCGCGTCCTCAGAAGGGTCGTCGGGGGCTGGCCTTTCCGCAACCTGCGGGGAACTCGAGCCGCCACCAGGGGGAGCCCTCGGTCGCCCGCCCAGCCCAGCTACGCCCGCCAGGCTCAGCTCTAGACCGCGGCTCAGCCCCGGCCCGCGGCCCCGCCCCTCGCCCGCCGCCCGCGCCTCGCCCGCCCGCGGCCGGAGCTGCAGCCACCGCAGGAGGCCCAGGCCCCGTGCCACCCGCAGGAGCCGGTCCTTGAGGCCCGAGCGGCAGGGACCCGCGGCCTGGGGAGCGGGCCCTGGCGGGGGCCTCGCGCGAAGCCTGCCGGGCGCCACCAGGGCGACCAGCGGCGCTGGGTCCCTGGACCCTTCTCCTCCAGCCCCCGCTTCGCTCACGCCCTCCTCCTCTTGCACCTTCCCCACCCCCTCTCCGACCTGGGTACGCTGACCCCGGGCGGTCGAGGCCTCGGCTCTAACGGCCTGGGGGCCCCTCGGCTCAGCCTCGGGCTGCACCCCACTGTTTCTCGCGTCCCGGGCCCGCCTGGGATCTCGAGAAGCCCGCGAGCTCCGGGGAACGCACGCGCGGCTGCCCTCGAGGGGACTGGAGGCCGCGGCTTTACTGGCCGGTTCAGCCTCTTCGGCCTCAGTGGACCCGCTTGTCGTTCCTGGGGCTGCCCGTAGGCTCCGTCCAGGCCCGGCTCCCTCCAGACTCAAGTCTGTGTCAGTCTCGGAATCCTCGGTTTCTCCCTGGGGCCTCGCCCCCGACGATTTTTCCGGGCTCCGGGGCCCGGCGGGGGGCTTGTCACCGCCTCTGCCGTCGCTGCCCAGGCCGTCGCTGCTCGGGCGTTCTCTCGGCGCCTCCAGCGCTGACTCCGGACCGGTTTGGGTGCTTCCCGAGCCCATGTCCGTTTGCTCCGAGTTGGGCCGCCGCTCTGGGGCCCCACCGCTCTGGCTGCCGCTCTCCAGGGCCTCGCGGGCTTCGCTGTCCGGGCAGGAGCTGGCCCCGTCTCCATCAGACGTGTCCCCATTGAGGCTGCGGGTCTCTTGGTGGCCCCGCTGAACCGAGCGTCCCCGCCCTTTTCCTCCTCTCCTGCGGCGGTCGCGCCCGCGTGTCCTTCCTCCTCCGAGGAGACCCTTCTCCTCCAGGCGCCCCCCACGGCCGTCCCCAGGCTTGTGGTTCTCCTTAGGCCCGCATCCCCGACGCCAAGCGCTGCCTCGTCTCCCCGCAGCCTCCGGTGGCGGCCCAGCCTCTGGCCGTCTGCAGTCGCCGTTCTCCTCTACGGTGGGCTTCCTGCGGCCACCGGGGGTCTCCTGGCCCCCCGCGGTGCAGGGATCCAAGAGTGGTCTTGCCCCGTGGGCTTTACCGCGGCCCTGTCGGCGCTCCCGGCTGGGCGCGCTGTCCGCGCTGGCCGACCCGGATTCCTGCTCCCCGGAGGTCGGCCTCCCGGGTCCCTCCGGCCGCTGGGGCGTTTTGCCCTTGCTCCTGACCATGGTTTGTTTCCCGGCGTCTCCTTCCTGTCCTCTTCCCTAGGAGCTGGCTGCCCGCAGGTGCCCTCGGCAGCACATCACAGGTTGCGGCTACAGGCTCAATCTACCCGCCCCCGCATCTCCCGCTTTATGCGTGAGCATCAATAATGCAGGTGGCTGCGGGTCCTGACCTCCTCGGCCAACAATAGAGTGGAGGCCACCCAGGAAAGAGGAGCTGCAACTGCGGACAAAGGCCGTGGACAGGGCAACCGTGCCGCCCGGAGTTGCTGCCGGCCAGGTCAGCCTGGCACCACGCCAAATCAAGGGGGCCCATGCTCTGCTCCCGCCTCACTGCTTCTTCAGCAGGGCGTGAAGGGGTGCCAAAAGAACCGTCCTCCTCGTCCTGGGGTCTCTAGGGGAATCCGTCCTCCTCCCTGCATTGGCAGGCGGATTCTTAACCACTGCGCCACCAGGGAAGTCCAGGTTACCCATTTCTTGTATTGCCTTCAAGAGCTATCCACGCACAGAAAAGCAAGTATTCTTTTTCCCTTTGAGCACAGGTGGAAGCTTTTTTAGCTCATGGCTCTCCACTCTGCTTTTTCCAATCTAACAGATTAACTTGGAGATTTCATAATAGTGCATAATGATCTTCTTTTCTTTTTACAACTGCATAATAATCCAGCAAATGAACGTGCCATAGTTTAACCAATTCTTTATTGATAGTGTGAAAATTAATCAAGGGAAACCTTACTAAAATGGAGTCCAGAGGCCAGAAGGGGGAGCTCTTACACGCTTACCCCTCCACCTCAATGCAGATCCCAAGGGAAAGAAATGTACTTTGTACTACAGCCAGCTGGAGGAAAAAAGATTTTCTCCTTGCCTGGCACAGCTCAGCCAATGAGAAACTGTCAAACTAAGACAATGAAAAGCCACTGTGCTTCAAATTCCCAATTTCCTCCAATGGTCTTTTTGTTTATAACAGCCTTTCCCAACTTCCCCTTCTCCTCTATAAAAAAGCTTCCTCTCCTTTGCTTTAGCAGGGTTGCGTGTTGCTGGCCATAGTTGCTATCCTGTGTTGTAATTCTTTGCTGCTCTTGAATAAACCTGTTTTCCTGGTAAAATAACTGACTTTTTAAAATTGCTTTAGGCTAACAGACTTTTATGTCTGAAACGGAGGATGCCTTCATCTCAGCTTTTGCTTCAGTTACAAACAACATTGACTCCACCTGTGTCCAAGCAGATCAATTCCTAGAAGTAGAATTGCTGGGCCATAGGGTATGTGTATTTGTAATTTGGAGTGCTCCAAAATTTCCTCCATGGAGGCTGTATCAATTTACACTCCCACAAACAAGATAGGAGACCACCCATTTTAACATGGCACTGAGGCATGGTGTTACCTAACATTTTTGCCACTCTGAAACGTGACAAATCTCAGTGTCTTTTAAATTCATTTCTCTGTGAGAATAAGCAGCTTTCCTCCATCTTACAGCCTTTTTTTTTTTTTTTCCTGAGACCTGTCTTTTCTCATTCTTTACCCATCTTTGTATTGATGCGGATCTGTTTCTTGATGGTTATACTGTAGTTAAACCCAGGCAGGATTCATGAGCCCTTTTTGGATGGCCCCAGGGCTCCGGGGCACCCAAGATGGAGTCAGATGAGATCTCCAGCCAGGGCCTGTGACCTGCCCCGCAGGGCTCCGTGCCCCTGCTGACCACTCACTCTGGCCTCTCCTCACCAGCAGCCCCGCCCAGAATCAGAGTGGGGGAGGTAACATTCCAGATTGTGGCCCTTTCCTTGGTATGCTCTCCAGTTGGCTTGTACCTGCCTTGTACCCACCTCTCTGCACATCTCCTGGAGCCAGCCTCAGACCTGGGTGGAGCGGCTGCAAGCACTCACGTTACCCAGGAGGGCCACTCACAGCCCAGAGGCCTGGTTTGAGCAAGGAGTTGAAAGTGACTTGGCCTTTGCCAAGGAAGCAGCCTTCTAGTGAAGGAAGCAGCTGTCCCAAAGGAACACAAGCTCATGGGTAACATCAGTTACCATGTAGCTCATAAAACTGGTGTCTTTGTGAAAGTCTGTAAGCTGTGCTTCCCCACCACCAATACTGACCAAGGCAAAGGGCGATGAGACTCATAGGGCTCGTTTCACCTGCAGAAAGCAGGAAGTGGGGTGATGTGCTCACACCATGGGTGATTACACAGCACTGTCAGCAACACACACGGGTTATTTCACAAACGCAATGGTGAGTGAAGAAGCCAGAAAGAGCTATAGAGTCACTGTATGATTCTATTTACATAAAGTACGAAAAGAGCAAACTGAGCTAGTTATAGAGTGGTGCCTGGGGTGGGGGGTGGGAGGTTGGTAGTGACTAGAAGGGTCACAAGGGAGCCTCCATGGGTGATACTGTTTGTTCAGTTGGTGGAGGTTTATCGGGTTGTACTCCTATGACTTGTGCTATTCTGTATGCGTTTTATAATTTAAAAGGTAACACAGAGAAAGAGCTCACTGGTTTGCCCTGGACTAATAATAATGATGATGTGCTCGGTACTGTTCTAAGTACTACACTTAATTTTTTTTTTTTCTTTTGGCCACGCCCTGCGGCCTGTGGGATCTTAGTTCCCCAGCCAGGGATTGAACCCAGGCCCTCAGCAGTGAAAGCACGGAGTCCTAACCACTGGACCGCCAGGGAATTCCCTGAATTCACTTAATTCTTGAAAGCACTCTAAGAGGTTGGTGCTATAAGGATTCCCATTTTATGGATGATAAGACTGAGGCACACAGCTGAGTGTCAGAACTGGAATGCCAGGAATTCCCTGGCAGGCCAGTGGTTAGGACTCTCTGCTTTCACTGCTGAGGGCCTGGGTTCAATCCCTGGTTGGGGAACTAAGATCCCACAAGCTGCACAGCGTGGCCAAAAATAAATATATTATTATATATATAAAAAAAAGAAGTGGGGTGCCCACTCAGGCAGTCTGGCTCCCAAGACCTGGCAAAAGAACATGTGTGAGGAGCTACCATCAGCTACACACAGAACTTCCATTTGTCCAGCCCATTACAATGTGTCCTGTGAGCTCTGGGGGCAGAGGGAGAGCTCCACACCTGTCTCTAATCTCCTACCTTCTCCCCTGCCCTCCTCTCCCTCTGGTTGATCCAGGACAGAGCTCGGATCTCACTCAGCTCCGTGGGTGTGGCCACTTCTGATCCTCTGAGTCTCAGTTCTCTTCCCAAGCTTCATTTCATTCAAACCCCCCAAAACCCTAGGAAGGAGATATGGTCTCATTTCACAGATGGGGAAACGGCTCTGAGAGGGTAAGTGGCTTAAAGACACACAGCCAGTAAGTGAGAAATTGGGGACCCAATTCAAGGGTCCCGCTATTCTTTTTCTTTAATTAATTAATTTATTGGCTACATTGGGTCTTCGTTGCTGCACGCGGGCTTTCTCTAGTGGCTAGCAGGGGCTACTTTCCGTTGCGGTGCGCGGGCTTCTCATTGTCGTGGCTTCTCTTGGTGCAGAGCATGGGCTATAGGCACGCAGGCTTCAGTAGTTGTGGCATGTGGGCTCACTAGTTGTGGCTTGCGGGCTCTAGAGCACAGGCTCACTAGTTGTGGTGCACGGGCTCAGTTGCTCCACGGCATGTGGGATCTTCCCGAACCAGGGCTCAAACCCATATCTCCTGCACTGGCAGGTGGATTCTTAACCACTGCGCCACCAGGGAAGCCCGGGTCCCGCTGTTCTGCTCCATGACACTTCTGCTGAGAATTGGCTTCAGAACCAGACAGGCTTGGTCCCTCCCCTGTCCCACTTCCTGGCTGTGTGATTTCCAACAATCTCCGGGGAACTCCCCTGGACAAACCTGATAGCAGGGCAGAGGGGCCCCAGCCCCAAGCCCAGTTCTCCCCTTGGCCTCCTCCTTCCCACTCATTCCTTCATCTGCTTTGCTCATGAGGACTGTGAGCTCCTCCTCCGGTCTGTGCAAGCCCTCTTCTGACTCCACTCCACACTCCTTCCCTCCCTCCTGATCCATTTCCTCCTCTCCTGGCCTCACCCACCTCACAGTAACTTTCACCTCCTTTGGTTGGGTGTTTACTGGGAGCCAGCTGCTGTGGGATGTTACAGATTCTCATTTAATCCTTTCAGTCCTCTGAGGTCGGCCCTATTATCACAGCCCATTTTGGAGATAAGTAAACAAAGGCGCAGGAGTGAGGTCATCTATCCAAGGTCACACAGCCGGTCACAGGCAAAGCCAGTGATGGAGGGTTGGATCCGCCCGACTTTCAGATGTAGGTGAACACTGTCTTCCACCGCTGGATGCCGAAGGCCCTCAGATCTAAGTCTCCAGACTGGCTGCCTGTGGTACGTCTCCAGGGACTTTGGTTTTATTTTTTTTGCGGTACGCGGGCCTCTCACTGTTCTGGCCTCTCCCGTTGCGGAGCACAGGCTCCGGACGCGCAGGCTCGGCGGCCATGGCTCACGGGCCCAGCCGCTCCGTGGCACGTGGGATCTTCCCAGACCGGGGCACGAACCCGTGTCCCCTGCATCGGCAGGCTGACTCTCAACCACTGCGCCACCAGGGAAGCCCCCTCCAGGGCCTTTGGAATTGGCAGTGACTCCTCCCACTCACTCACCGGTCTATCTGGCAGCCATCCTGGTCAACTCAACCTCTCAATACCTCCGTTTCACCACTCCCATCACCTCTCCCTGGACACCCCACTTCTCCCTCGGGGCCAGCCCAGCTCCCGTCAATCCCCTTTCTAGAGCACGCCTATCCATAAAAATGGTTGGTCTCACACTCCTAATATGAGAACTTTCCTTCTGAAATATTTGAACCACCAACGTAAGCTAACGCTTCAAAGCATAGTGTACGCAAGGCAAATCTCGTCCTTAATGCGTGCGGGGTAAATCCATTTTCAAAGAGCCCTCCTGGATTTTCAGGTGCGTGTGTGCTTGTTGACTTCTTGTTCGAGCTGATTAGCTGGATCATTGCGGCAGTCACGAAGCCATGGAGGTGTTGGCTCTGCCATTTCCTTCTCATTTGTTGGCGTTTGCATTGTTACTGTGATCTTCAAGTCTTGGTTTCTTGGCAGGAAACTTCGTGTCGCTTGTCCATTAGTGTGAGGTAATTTAGGCCAATTGAATAAAAGACATGGAAGCCCCCCTAAACTGGCAGTCACAAAACCATACCTGTCTCCCTAGGTGGGGAGCCCAGCTCTCTGGGTGTGATGTTCCCACTCCTTCCTTGGCACCCACTTTTGGCGCAGGATCCTCTGACCCACAGACTGAGGACCCCAGTGCCAACCCAAGTTAGAGAAGACATCCTATGCATCAAACTCTAAGATGTTCTCCCTGACCCTGACAGAGGGCCTCCCCCATCATTAGCCCATTGACCTCGAGGTCTCATAGGAACCTGGCAACAGACCACGAGGGAATACCGTTATCCCATTTCCCAGGAGAAACTGCTGCAGAGCAGGTAAGTAATTTGCCTGAGTGGAACTTGGTTGCTGTAGCTGCGGCTGAAGCTACAGTAGTCTTTAGAAGAATAAATCTCCTCATGGAACTTCCCTGCTTAAAGCCCTCCAGAAGGGACTTCCCTGGCGGTCCAGCACCTCCACTGCAGGGGGCGTGGGTTCGATCCCTGGTCTGGGAACTAAGATCCCACGTGCCACGCAGCGCGGCAGAAAAAAAAACGTCCTTCAAAGGCTTCCGCTGTCTCAGGATGGAGTCCAGACTGTCTTGCAGAGGGAGCAGTTCTCCCCACCTCCCCCACGCCCGTGGCTTTGCCTTTATCTGCCCAGCATCCTTTCTCCACTTCTTCCCAGGACAGCATTTTCTTCCTTTGGGGAGCTGTCCCTCCCACTCCTCGCGGCTCTTAGGGCTCCATCTCAGTAAGCCCCCACTATTCCTCTAAGGAGAAACAAGGGATGCTCGAGTGGTCCAAGTTCCAAAATGCAGCGACTCTTGAGCTGGACGTGCTGGGCCGGAGGGTGGGTGCAGAGGATGCTCCCACGGTGTGTCCGTCCTGGGACCTGGGCCTCAGCTCCTCCTCTGCTCCCTGAGTAATCCGTGTCCTTCCAACAGGCCCTTTCCGCACTCAGGCCAGGGTGGGTTCCTGCGGCCCGTGGCGGTGCCCTCACCCTCACGAGGCTCCTGGACTGGCCCTGGCATTTTCAGCTCATTTCCTGCTAGCCACCCTCAGCTCTTCACTCGTTCTACGGCGAGCAGAACACTCCCTCTCGTGCTGCTGTACCTCCCCGCCCCCAGTCCTCTGCACCGAACAGTCTGCCCAGCCAGCTCCCGGTCACCTCTCCCGTCACACTTAACGTCACCTCCCCAGGCACATTTCTCACAAGCCCCCAGATCTCCCTCGTCTTAACACTTCCTGCACTCGTAAGGACCCCACGAGGGCAGGGATCACATTGTCTTGGCCACCTCTGAACCCCAAGCACCTGGCGTATAGCTGGTGCTCAGTGAAGACAGGTGAATAAAGATGTAGCCCAAGTAGAATCAAACCCCGGGCTTATAAAGACCTTAACTGCCCCCCATGCCTCAGCAGCACCCCATAGTCCTTCCCTGAAGTCCGGAAGAAGCCATCGGGCCTGAGATACTGTGTGCATCTTCCCCTCCGAACAGCAAGGGAAGGCCAGCCAGGGGCAGCTAGGGGCCTCCCACTGCCCCCCACCCAGGGATGCAGTCAGACTCAATTCAGTTAACTTTTACCATTTATTCCCAAAGAGAGAAGGCATATAGCGTTCGGACACAACCAGATACAGTTTGATCTGATTCAAAGAGCTTAAAAAACAGATTCTCCTGAGCACCAGCCTGGTCCAGGGGACGGACCCAAGGGGCAAAGGCAAGGAACCAGCTAACGATCATTTCTATTTACGTGGAAAATCTCTGCACAATTAAAAAAGTAAAGTCGTTGGGCCAGTCCAGTGAAGAGGTAATAAGGTGTTTATTAAAAACTTTTTCACCCGGAGGCAGTTAACATTTATAATTTAAAACCCAGCCCACTACAAAAAGCGGGGAGATGGGGATAAAAACTGTGCAACATTGACAAAAGGACCGAGAGGGTCAAGGACCGAGGAGGGAGAGCCCCAGGGGCCTGGGGTCCCTCCTCTCCCAAGGCCAGGAGCAGCAGCAGGGTGGGCACTGGGGGTGCCCCCAGCCCCTGCACGGCCCAGTGTACGGGCCTCTCCAGGTGGGGCAGTGCCCCCAGGAAGAGCCGTCAGTAGTGTGTGTTCGTCGTGCAGAAGGAGATAGAGCCACAGCAACTCAGGAGCATCCTGGGTGGGACGGGGGCCTCAGTCACCCGCCTGAGCCCAGACACGGAGGTCTTCGGGCAAGTGGGGGTGTGTGTCAGGGCTGGGATAGGCCTAAGGGCCTTGGGGAGCGGGGACAGGGGCTCCTGTCCTTCCTATCCCTCCCTAGGAGCGTGCCCCACCCCACCGTGCAGCAGCACCCAGAGCCCCTACCTCCCCCATTGCTGAGGCCGTACCCCACGGCCACTCGTTGAGAACGCCAATCACCACAGCTCCTGCGTGGGCAAAGACAGGGCCGTCACCGTCCACGGGGGCTGCAGACAAGGACCCTCATTCCCAGAGCTCCCCTGGAACGTCTCCCGGCACCAGGGGCCCAGCCCTGCAAGCCTGAGAGTCACTCACCCTCGGTCTCCCTCCAGCGTGCTCTGGATCTCCTTCAGGACTCCTGCGGGGCAGGGGGGCAGGGGTGGGGAGCAGAGGCGTGGTGAGGCAAGCTGGGGCTGGGCCAGACACCCCCCTTTCTGCCCCTTCTACTGATGGGGTGAACGGGCCTGCCCTCCTTCAGGAAAACGGCCCTCGTTCCCACCCTGGCCTTCCAAGCACGCTCCCACCCCCCGCCCCGCACATCCCCCCTGCCAGCCAGCCCACCAGCACCTGCCCTGACTCACTCTCGTCATTGAGCAGAGCGTGCTCCATCACGGGGCCCGACCTCCTCTCTGGAAGGCAGAGGCCAGGCCAGGTGAGCCTTGGGCCCTCCTCTGCCCCAGCTCCCTGCTTCTGGGGGTGGGGTTGCTGAAGCCTGAACCCAGGACTGGAAGGGAAGCTGTTTCGACTCCCAGCCCGAACACCGCCTGCTCACCTGGGATCCCCTTCCCTCCCCAGGTGTGCTCACAACGCCTCGGCCCCCACACGCCCCTGGCCCCCAAGAGGCCTGTCTTACCCTCTTCATCACTCTGGCTCCCTGAGTTCCTGTGGAGAAGAGACAGTAAGGATGGGGGGCCACTAGGCTCCCCGTTCTGGAAAGCCCTGGTCCCGTGAAGATTGAGGTCGACTGACGAACTTGCGTGGGAGGGTGGGGCATACAAAGCGGGGCAAGGAGGCAGAGCTGGGAGGGTGGGCTGAGTTCACGGGGGAAGGGGACTCTGACCAGCCCCCAGGGGGCACCCCAGGGAGGGTGGGGTGAGGAGGGGCTGGAGCAAAGGCCACCTGGCCTCTTACCCACCTGGCTTTGCCCGAGGCCTTTTCAGGGCCCGACCCGTCGCGGGGGCGGCTGTGGTTCTTCGTTTCTGCTGAATCCACCAGGCACCGGGGCTCAACCAGCCACTTGGTGGAGAGAGAGAAGCGCTCAAACTCGGAGGGTGAGATCAGGTAGAAACCTGGTGGGTGGAGAAGCCTGGCAGGTGAGGCCAGCCTGAGTCTCCCAGACCTTGTGGCTGCCAACAGAGCTGCCCCCCCCAGGGGGGATTAGGGGCCAGAGGCTCCCGAAGTTGTCTGCCTGAGGAGCCTGGCCTTGACCGGAATACCCCCGACTGCCCTTCCCAGCAGCCCTCGCAGCAGAGCAGGAGCCCCAAACGCAGCCCTGCGGGCAGAGGTCCCAACGTGCCCACCGCCTGCACACCTTGGCCATATTTGGTGAAGACGCAGGAGGCGATGCCGCTGACGTCCTCCCGGCGGATGCAGCTGTACCGCACCTGGGGCTTGAGCAGGGGCAGCGAGACCACCTGGATGTCGCCCAGGTTGGTGAGGACAGCCAGGTGATGTTCCCCGTAGTCCTCGGCTCGACAGCTGCCGAAGCGGGCCGCACTGACCCGCCGCACCCGCGAGCCCTCCAGGGCGGTCAGCTTCAGCTTCAGCCTGGCACTGACCTTGGGCAGCGTGAACACCTAGGGCACAGGGCAGCCGGTCACACCTGCAGCCAGACCAGTTTGCAGAGCTTCATCCAGTCAAACGAGGACTTCCCGCTTCCCTGCCCGACGCTGCCGCTGGGCCTGGCCCTCAGATGTGTGGTCGCTGCACTGAGACTGCGAGGACGCCAGTCCCTGTCTGTGTTTTCTGTCCCTTCCCCAGACATAGGTCCTGCTTCAGTGTCCCCACCACTGACCCTGGGGCCCGGGGGCTCCATCAAGACCCCGCTTCTTTCCTGTGCCTCTGCAGCCCTCACACAGCAACTACAAACACTACGTTAAGTGAGTCCCAGCCATTGTCATTTGTGCTGGGGATTCCTGGGGGACCCCACCTCCTCCCATAAGGCACCTTGAACTGCTCCTCCGACACGACAAGCAGCTGGTGGCTTCCCTGCATGTCGGGGCTCTTTGACAGGTCGTGGGCCACTTCCAGGGGCTCGGGAAGGGGCACACTGTGTCCGTCCAGCACCAGGATCCCCACCACGGGCGCTCGGTGCATCAGCTGGATCTCCTTGGCTGCAGGGACGGAGGTAGGCGACGGGGCTGGTGGTTGGGCGGAGCACGAGGCTGGAGACACCATCCCGCTCCCAGCCGAGGCAGACAAGTGCTCTCCCCCCGGCCAGCACTCACCCTGCTCCGCCCGCACCGGCTCATCCATTCTCCGCTCAGCGGGGGGCACGCGCAGGGCAAAGGCGTAGACGGTACCTCCATTGGTGCCAGCCCACAGCGAGGGGCAGTGGCGGGAGCCTGCCAGGAGGCAAAGGTTTACATCTAACCCCTGGCTCTGGGTGTCAGGGGGAGCCAGGAGACCTGGCTCACTACCTGTGTGACTCCAAGGTCAAGTCAGCAAACTTTCATAAACCTCAATTTCTTCCTCTGTAAAATGGAGCTGCTGTGGGCCCTGCCTACCTCCTGGGTGTAGACGAAAAAGGCTGGGAAGGCTCTCTGACAACCCAGAGCCCCATGCAGATAATCCCAAACCTGGGACAGCTCGGCCCTCGAGATACAGCAGCAGACAGCCCTCAGCCCACCCTTGCCCTGGCAGGAGAAGAGAAACAGCCAGAGAGCTTCTAGAGGGCCTACTGCGTACCAGCAGGCATGTGGCACGTCCCAACGCTCGCAGCCACTCTAGGAGGAAGCTATCCCTCCATTTTACAGGGGGAGAAGCGAGACCCAGAAAGGCTAAGTGACACGTCTAAGGTCACACTTCTAGAGAGTGGTGGAGCCTGGATACGAAGCCAGGGCGATCAGACTCGGAGACCCAGGCACGGGAGGGAAAGGGGCGGGTGAGGGCTCCAGTCTCCCCTTGCTCACAGGGGGAACCCCTCTTAGGGGTGCACCAGCCAGCAGCCTCTGACACGCCCTCACGCCAGAGGGCCCCCCACCTCAAGCTGGCCACTCACTGTCCCGCAGGTAGGTGTCAGCGAAGTAGAGGGTCCGGACAAAGCCCGTGAAGGAGTCCTCCGCCGAGCGGGCCTCGATCTTGCGCTGCACTGGCGCCAGCTCCATGTTCTGCAGGCCAGTCCTCTCTGCCCTGCTGCTCCCCTCCTGCACCTGCAGTCGAGTGGGCCAGGCCTGAGGGTGGGCTCTCGCCTTCCTTCCCGGGGGCATCAGATTGCTCAACAGCGAGCCTTCCGGGAAGACTGGCCACAGCCCCTGCCACCGCCTGCCTGGTAATACTGACTGAGGACGTGGCCCTGAGGCATTACACACTTTCACACTTAGGGAAGCCGAGGCACAGAGAAGCAGTGCGACGGATCCGAGGTCACAGGGTTGGTGGGGGTCGGGGGTGGCCCAGAGCCCGTGTCTGTGGCCAAAGCAGGCGGGGCAGGGAGGGGTGGTGGGGACCTGCCGCTGGCTGCTCCGGGCTCTGCCCGGGCTCGTGGCCGGCCCCGGCCTCACCTCTCCTGGAGGGCCAGCAGGCCGCCGCTTCCTGCTGGACACCCGGCTGCGACGTATCCGGCGGAAGGACTGGCGCAGGGACTTCTTTAGGGACTTCACACGGGACAGTGGGCCCTCCAAGGCTAGCTGGTCATTGGGGTGCAGCGTGCACCTGGGGGGACGATGGGCCATCAGCGTGGCCAGGGCCTAAGGGACCTTGCCAATCCAGGCACCAACCCCAGACCCGGCCACCCCGGGAGGTCTGCTCACTTGACAAAGACCTGCCGCCGCTGCTGGTGGTCAAAGAGGCCAAAGCCGTGGCTGGTGCCGAAGGCCACGAGCCGCCACTCGGAGTGCAGGGCCAAGGAGGTGACCACAGCCGGGGGCTGGCACTGCACCAACACAAAGGGCTGGAAGCCGGGCTCGAAGTGCACGGGCCCTGGGCGGGCACACAGGCGCTCGTGCCCCTTCCAGCGGTAGCCCTCCTGGTCCTGCAGCAAGTCGGCCTCCACCTGCTCCACTGCGTGCTCCGCCGCCTCGTCATTCAGCTCCAGCACCAGCACCTGGGCAGGGCGGCAGATGGGCTGAACCACCCCCCGGCACCAAGGGACGGACGGCAGGACCTCAGGGACCCTAACGGCAGGGGCGGCAAAGGACCCAAGATCCACGCCAAGGCCAAGGGTCAGAAGTGCCCAACCTCTGGCTCTTAATCCTGATTTCTGGAGGAGAAAGGCCTCCCTCTAATGGGATCAGGGAACTTCTATTCACTGGGAGAAGTCAGAGCCACAGGGGCAGGTGATGCACCAGGGGGGCGCTCAGGAAGCTGGTTCCTGGCCCTGCTGCCCCCCAAGACTGAGAAGGAAGCTCGTGGGCCTGGACGCTGCCCAAAGTCACCTGATCAGCCCTCCCCACGGCTCCGCACGCCCAGCCCGGCCTGCTACCTGCCCTGCTGTGCCGGCCACAGCCAGGTAGCCACTGTATCTGCAGAGGAAAATCTTCTGGATGCCCAGCCGAGGATCGTCGCTGTAGGGGTCGAAAGAGCCCACCTGACAAGGGAGAAGAGCTCCGTGAGGGGCCATAAGCGCTGGACCTGGCCCATCCCCGCCCTCCCTGGTTCCCAGGCTCCGGGCCTCACCTTGCGGAGGGGGGGCCACTCGTCCTCACCCTGGGCACTGAGGCTCTCGTTGGGGTCTGTGTCGGTGAGGAACACCCGTACTGTGCTGAGTTTGTAGAGCAGCCGCAAGCAGACGCCCGAGGCATCCCAGAACCGCACTGTGCCGTCCTCGTGCCTGTGGGCAGAGCCCGCCTGCCGCCCGTGAGAAGGATGCCGGGCCAGAGGTGCCCGGGACTGGCAAGCACAGCCCCCGAGCTCTGCTCCCACCCCACACATCCCACTAGGCAGGAGAGTACGATCAACGTCACCTACCCCGTGAGCAGCAGGTCCCTCTGGGGTGGGGCCGGGGCCAGGCTGGTGCCACCGTCAATGGGCCACTCCTGGAGGAGATGACGGAGAAGTTCATGGGCGAGCCTGGCTCTGGGCTGGGGCGGGGCTGGGGCCAGGGCCAGACCTACCATGGTGGAGAAGTATGTGTTCTGTCGGCTGCCAGCAGCGATGATGCGCTCCCACAGCTTCAGGGGGATGTTGGAGACATGGTGGGAGCAGGTGATGGCGGAGCAGTGCAGGGAGGCCAGGTAGGGAGGCTGGACCGGCGGCCAACCAGCCGTCTGCAGGTCAATCACGACCAGCTCCTCCTCAGCCAGCACTACCAGGGCATAGGGGTCATCAAGGGCTGTGGGGACAGGCCAAGGGTCAGGGGCTGCAGGAGCCACTGGGAAGCAGTCTGTCCAGCCTGGCCCTGTAGAATCTGAGGCTCTAGGGTTGGAGCCAGGGCACCCACATTTTAAAAGCAAGCTCCAAATCCAACAATGCATAAAAAGAATTATATGCCATGACTAAGTGGGATTTATCCCAGGTATGCAAGGCTGCGTCAACTTTCGAAAAACAATTAATGAAACCCATTGCATCAAGAGGCTAAAAAAGAGAAATTGGGAACTCCCTGGCAGTCCAGTGATTAAGACTCTATGCTTTCACTGCCAAGGGTCTGGGTTCAATTCCTGGTCGGGGAACTAAGATCCCACAAGCCGTGTGGTGTGGCCAAAAAAAAAAAATCACATGATCATAGCGATAGATGCAGAAAAACTATTTGACAAAACCCAACATCCATTTATGATTTAAAAAAAAAAACTCTCAGTAAACTAGGAATAGAGGGGAACTGCCTCAACTTGATAAAGAATATCTACAAAAAACCTACGGCAGGCTTCCCTGGTGGCGCAGTGGTTGAGACTCTGCCTGCCGATGCAGGAGACGTGGGTTCGTGCCCCGGTCTGGGAAGATCCCACATGCCGCAGAGCGGCTGGGCCCGTAAGCCATGGCTGCTGAGCCTGTGCGTCCGGAGCCTGTGCTCCGCAACGGAAGAGGCCACAACAGTGAGAGGCCCGTGTACCGCTAAAAAAAAAAAAACACCAAAAAACCCAAAACACCTATGGCTAATGTAATACTTGATGGTGAGAAACGTGAAGCTTTCCCACTGAGATCAGGAACAAGGCAAGGTTGCCTCCTCTCACCACTCATTTTCAAGTACTAGCTAATGCAATAAAACAAGAAAAGGAAATAGAAGGCATACAGATTGGGAAGAAAGAAGTAAAACCGTCTTTGTTCACAGATGACATGATCATCAATATAGAAAATCTAAAAGAATCGACCAAAAACTGGCCCTGGCTCCCACCATGCTGTCAGGTAGGAGGAGGGAAGAAGAGGCTGAGAAAGGAGGAAAAGCAGGTTCAGAGTCTCCCTCCAAAGGGCCACTGGTGAGGCTGGGAGAACACAGCTCAGGGTGTCCTGAGCAGGCCTGCCTCCCTCACCTGGAGGCCTCGGGCCTGTCAGGTCAGAGTCACCTAGGGAGGAGGCCTGCCCTCCTGGAGATCTCCCGCCAGGCCTCCTCTCTGGGTTTTGACACCAGCCCTTTCTGGTCTTGCCTGTCACCCAATTTAGAAAGCTGACTCAGGGCTTTCTTGGCCTGGCTGAGTTCCAGGAGACCAGCTCAGCTGGCCCACACTGCTACCTGCCCCACCCCACAAGGAGGGCTTCACCATGTCCAGGCCAGGAGCCCTTTGCCTCAGCCAGGTGGGTGTTAAGCCCAACAGTGCAGATCTGCCCACCTTTGGGCCAAGTCCCAGCTAAGCTGGGGAAGGGCAAAGAGAGCTTGGGGTGGATGGGAGGCATGGCCAGCAAGGACAAGCCACAGGCCAGCAGGGAAGGAGAGGGAGCAGCCTCGGGGACACAAAGAAGAGGTGCAGTGGGACTTAGGGACTCAGGGGTGGCAGCTCTGGGAATGCCTGCAGGCCCTTCCTCTTTGTTTATGGATGGGGGTGGGCCGGATCCCCACACCTCCTGGTGGCCTGCCCTTCACACTCACTCCCGCTCACCTACCAGCCTCAGGGTTCGCCTCAATGAGGACAGTGAAGTCGATGACGCGGGAGGTGAAGTCAAAGGCTGTCTGCTGGCCGTTGTGGATCACTGAGATGCAGTGGCGGTCCCCATAGCTGGCCCGTGGCATGCCGCCCTGGAAGATGGTGAAGGGCAACCTGGCAGGCACAGAAGAGCAGGGGGTGGGCTGCTGATGCCGCCCCAGAAGCCAAGGGCTGAGCCAGCCGTGGGGTGGCCCTGTGACTGGCCTCTGCAGCAGGGCCTGGCATGAGGGCTGGCCTCAGAGTAAGTGCTCACTCAAGGTTCCCAGGAGGGGCTGGAGCGGACCCCCGTCTCTTCCCAACTCAACAGCCCTGGAGAACTTGGGGGCCAGCAGCGGAGCACGCAGGCTGCAGGCTTTGAGTCTCCGCCACCACTCCCGTTTCAACCAGAGTGCCCTCTGGCCCCCTTTTCTGCTTATACATCAGGTCTCCCTGTATGATTCTGTTTGAAGAAACAGGTCTGATCCTAAGACAGAGTTTGGAACCTGCTGATCTGAATCATCTCTCCAGGAGGGTGGAAGGGAAAGAATGGGAATGAGTTTTCAGGAATTAGTCGGAGAGAGGTATGAACAGCACCCCCCTCCCTTCCCTGGAGACCCGGATATGAGACCTAAAGGCAGTCACTAGGCACCATCTCCCCCAGGCAGAGGTTTGAGCAGCCTTTCCAGCTCCCCAGGAAAGCTCTAGAAAGGGAACAGGACAGATCACTGATACCTACCCCTGCTTGGTGGTCAGCCAGAAGATTTTGGTAATAGCTTTGCAAGGAAAAGGGCCTAAAAGAAAAGGAAATACCTTGAACGGCCCTCCCGCTCTCAGAGGCCCGCGGGTCTGCAGCACAGATCCCGCAAACCTGCGGAGCAGATCTAGGCTCGGGAGTCTTGCTGTGAGCAGTTCCCAGAGAAAGTCACAGCGCGTGTCAGAAAACCCGCTGTGTGGCTTCGGACACAGCCTTCACCATCTCTGGGCCCCAGGTTTTGCTTCTATGAGTTGGACACCTACACCTGAAAGCAGGAGAGACCGACTGGGGCCAGAGAGGACAGCGCCTTGCTCACTGGAAGGCGGTCCCAGGTGGCGGGCAGAGCACTGACCGTAAGGCACACAGCTGCGCAGGGGCTCCGGTTGCAGGGTGTCACTGGACACGGGCCACTGGCAGTAGCTGCCGTCAGAATGGCAGCTGACAATCAGATGGCCGTCCCGCTGCCAGCAGACGTTCTCCAGTTGCTTCACGGTGGGAAAGGAGAGAGAGTGCACGAAGGCTGGGATCAGGGGTGCGGTTCCATCGCCTGCACCCCCATGCCTCAGACGGGGGCTGGATGTGTTATGTGGGGCCTGGGAGAACCATGTGGCACCCCTACCTGGCTGCTGAGGAAATGACAGAGCACACAGCTGCCCTGTAGGTCCCAGATGACGACAAGGCCCCGGCTGTAGCCAATGAGGATCTGCTTGGGGTCCCGAGGATGTTCCTGCAGAGCCTCCACCATCTCAAATGCCCGCCTGTGGCGGACCTCCTCTGGCAACCTGGGCGAGGGGAGCACCGTGAGCCCACGTCACCGTCCACCGATGGGGCGTGGCTGAGAGCATGGCACAGCCATGCCCGGCATCCCCGAAGCAGCGGGCACAGAATGTGCCAGCATGGAAAGGCTGCCAGGATACATCATCAAGGGGAGAGAGAAGCAACGCATAGAACAGGGCAGCGATAGAGAAAACCCCGTAAGGATGCAAACGCAGGTGGCACAACTATAAGGAAAAGCAAGGAAGTGGTTTCCAGAAAAGTCGATGTGGTGGTTACCTCTGGGGGAGGGAGGGAGCTGTGACAGAGAAGGGCAGGTGGGGGACCCTGGGGGGGCTGGCAAAATTTTGTGTTTGCCCAGAGTTGGCTGCAGAGACGCTCACTTAACAAGAATCCATTAAACTGTACATTCAACCCTAGTGCATTTCGGCAAGGTGTTGGTGTTTCATAAAAAAAAAAGAAAGTTTTTAAGACCTACAAAACAAAACTCTCTATATCAGTTGGCCTGGCCTTGAGCCTTGACCCCCTCCTCCTTTTCTGGGCCTGGAATGCTGATGTGAAGTTTGGAGGTGCTACACCAACAGAAGACCATGAGGTGGCAGGCACAGGACCAAACGCCAATACCGAGCAGGGCGAGTAGGAAATGGAAACAGCCTGGATCCCAAGGGCATTTCTACGCTCAAACCCAAACCAAACCCTCTACATTTAGAACAAGATTTAGACCAACAGGAGGGGTTCCCAGGGCACCCAGGCTGGGAAAGCCCAGCAGGGGCTCCTCCTCGACTAGACTCCCACCGGTACGGGTACGGTGGGCACTGGTACCGCCACACACTGAGGAGCAGGTCCTTCTACCGTCCTGCCCACAGGCCAGGCGCCCCGGCTGAGCACCAGCTGGGCCTGCCACCCTGTAAACAGTCCTGCTCTGACCATGGTCACGCTGCCCTGACTCTACCATGCCCAGTGCTCAGAAGGACCCGGCCCCAAGCAGGAATCCTCCCAACCCAGCAATGCCCAGCCCTGCTTGACCATCACCCGGGGCCTGACGACTATGAGTGTTACAAGCCTGGTCCAGAGCCCTTAGGAAGGTCAGGCATGAAGCAGCTCCACAGCCCAGCACACTGGCCTCCTCCCTGCCCCTTTTTTTTTTTTTTTGCGGTACGCGGGCCTCTCACTGTTGCAGCCTCTCCCGTTGCGGAGCACAGGCTCCGGACGTGCAGGCTCAGCGGCCATGGCTCACGGGCCCAGCTGCTCCACGGCATGTGGGATCTTCCCGGACCGGGGCACGAACCCGTGTCCCCCACATCGGCAGGCGGACTCTCAACCATTGCGCCACCAGGGAAGCCCTCTCCCTGCCCTTCTTCACTGCAGAACACTCCACGGCCATCAACCTGGCTCCCGTGGGCTCCTGCTGGACTCCTCCATCCCCTCCACACCCAGACCTGATCTGACTCCCTCTCTCCCACGGACACCACCATTAACGAGCAAAGATTCTGAAACGGTCTCAAGAAACCTACAGGTTGTGGCCGCCGGGGATTCGGGGCCATGGAGCCTGCATGCAAACGAACGTGGGCAGAGACTCCAAAGCACAAGCACCAGCAGAAGCTGACGCGGACAGGCCTGGGCCCCGTCTGCCCCACTGTGGAGCCCCGGGGCTCTGAAAGAGGCGGTATCCGTGCCGAGGACACTGGACTGAGAGTTGGTATCATTGCACAATCATTTTGAGCCTTGTTTTCCTTTTAAATGAGGTGACAAGTTACTCCCAAGACCCCTTTTAGTGCTGGGATGCTAACTCTTTTTTGGGGGTGAGATTCTCAATTGGGGGGACAGGTGGAGAGCTGAGAGTCTGTCCTCCCATCCCTACAGACCTCCCAGGAGAGAAATCATAAGCTCCTGAGGCATAACCGGGATGGAAAGGAGAAGGCCACTCGAGGGGACAGGTTCCTTAGGGCACGAGGGTCTCCGGGCCTGGGGCTCACCGCTGCAGCACAGCATCTGAGCTGATCGTCTGGTCCTCCAGCGCGCGGAAAGCCGGCAGCTGCACCACGAACACACTGCCGCTCTCGGTGCCCAGGTAGAGCAGCTGGCAGGAGGAATGCGGCAGGACCACGGTGATCTGCGTGGCACTGGGGGCGGCCCTGCAGAGGGAATGATGGCCCGTGAGCTGGCCCTGCCCAGGCAGGGGGGACCCACAGATAGGATCCCCCACTCCCTCAGCGGCCCCAGGGAAGGCCATGCCTGCGGTGGGGAAGCAGGCCAGTGAGGTCCTTTGATGGGGTCCAGCTACTCAGGCCCGGACAAACATACTGTTTTTTTTTTCTGCCAAGACAGGAGACAGATGGCAGAGAGCTGAGGCTAAGAAGCAGAAAAAAATCCCTTGGCGCCTCCCACGTAGGGGATGGGGGGAGGCAGGCCACAGCCCTGCCAGCTCCTCCCAGGGCACCCTGGAGTTGGTGCACGGGTCAGGCTGGCTAGGAGAGCAAGAAGACTGAGTTCTTACCCTGGGGGGCCACGCAGCGTGAAACTCTCATCTTCCTGCAGCTCCGACACCCCGCCTTTGACCTTCAGGCTCCACAGGTGCAGGCTGTTGTCGTCCAGCAGGGTGACCAGCTGGCACTAGGCAGGAAACGGGGCAGAAGCGTGCTGTCTCGTTAACCAGGGAGGGACAGCATTCACCGTGACCTTTACACACTGGGGCGGCCCAGCCTGTGCGGGTCATTTCCAAGAGCCCCAGAACCAAGAGACCCCCGGCTCCTGTTAGGGTGGCCGTGAACCGCAGCTGGGGAAAGGCGGATTTGTCCCGGGTCCTCCCATCAGCACCAAACCCAGGGCCACCAAACGACTGCCTTTCCATACGTCCTTTCTGGAAGATGGGAAAGTAAGAAGGGCATGGGGGCAGGGGGGCCTCACCTGGCCAGGCAGGAAGTGGATCTGCACTACCGCATTGTTCTCACGGTGCAACCCCATGAACTCCACCCCTGGGGCACCGTAGCTGGGAGTAGCAGGCTCAGGAAAAGCTCCACAAGGCAGGACCCCACCCCTCGGCCTGCCCGCTGGGCCCACATGGCAAGAAGTGTAAATACCCAGCAGCAGAGAAGGGCTGCTGGGGGCAGGGGGGGGGGCGGGGTGTTTAGGGTGGGGAGGGGACAGCAGGGGGCCTGCCCTGAGGGCACCGGGCCAGTAACCTGACCCCTGAGGGTAAAGTGAGCCAACCAGGGAGAGCTGTCGCAGCCAGGAGGGGTGAAGCATTATCCTGGCAACTCTTAGGCTGTTCACTGTACCCCTGTCCCCCGCCCCACTGAAACCCATAACCTGAACTGCAACAGACTGTCAGCTACCACGTGGTGGCACCTGTGAGAAGACGCACAGGGCACCCGTGGGCCCACCTACGGCAGCCATGGCCGTGAGCCTTGGTGCTGAGAATCGTAACCAGGATATGGCCGTGGCCTGGCAATGATTAACCACCTAAGGGAGGGCTGAGTCGGTGGAAGCTGGGCCTCTGCCCTCCTGTGTACACACCCCCTGCAGCCTCGTGCTGCTGACTTGCACCCCCAGGCTCCCTGCACCTGCCCTGCAGCAGTGGAGGGAGTTACAGCTTTACTGGAGGAGGTGGCAGCTGGGCTCTCCACGGGTGGTCCCCCACCTCCCAATTCCCCTAGGTCCCACCCTCGCTCACCCTGGGGGCTCAGGCCAGATTCAGGGGTGGGACTCCCAGACGCGTAGCGCAGCCTAGGCCAGAGGACCCAAGCAGCGATTCCCCATCCTGGGACCTGTGGGCTTGCCTCTGAAATGGACCCACTGGACCACGTCCAGCCTCATGCCAGGGAAGGACTGTCCCCACCAACTAGGAGTCCACTCTCCTCTCCGGTGTGTGTGTGTGTGTACGCGGGGTGTGTGCAGGGTCGGGGGTAGAATCTGGAAGAGCATCTGGCTTAGCACAGCTCCTCTAACCCAAGGCCACCCCGTCTCTGGTTTGGACTGAGCCCTGGGCCCAGTCTACTGATCCTTTGGGGGTGGGGCCCATCCCCGGCCTCCACTTACTGCATTCGGGGCTGACTCCTAAAAGGGTATTTGGAACGTCCCGGGAACAAGAGGGGTCATCTGCAACTTGCTTTTCTATGGAGAGTTGGGGGAGTCCTTCCTGAATCTCACCAATGCCAAGGCCCCTGGCCCTTCCAGGGCATCCCTGGGTGGGAGCTGGGAGAACGGAAAGGATACAGCTTGATGGCTCCGGAGCGGGTGCCAATGGCCAGGATGCGCAGAGAGGGGCTGTAGCCGAGGGCGCTGGGCTGGTGCGGGAAGCCATGCTCCACCGTCTGCAACGAGAACCAGGCAGGCATGGGCCTGTAGACACGTCCCCTCTGCCCCTCCATGGCCGGGGGCAGGGGGTCAGTGCCGGAGGGAGGAGCCGCAGCAGAGAGCCACCCCCAGCAGGAAGAAGGAATTCAGTCTCATTCAGGTCCCCACCCGGACCCACCTGGGCCCCACCCTCAGTCCATTCCTGACCCGGTCCTTGGCCATGTGATGCTCCCTGGGAGCGCATTCTCCCGGGACACCGTGCTGGCCCCTTGCTCTCCAGGAACTCTGACCTGGTTCCTCCACCAACCGTACTGTGGGCCACCCACCCAGCCCTCCTGCAGGAGTGCGGGGGAAGCTCTGGGGGGCTGGCACAGGAGAGGCACCAGGTGGCTCAGGAAGCCCAGCTGCACTGCAGCTCCAGGCGGGCCCCTGGGGTCCGACGGAACCCACAGCTGCCCTTCCCGACTCTGGGCCACCCGAGGCTCCTCCAGCACTGAACATTTGCTCTGTCTCAAGTGCCTCGTTGCCACTATGAGTTCTCTTCCACCATCTTCCCAGGGAGGAAGCTTCTGGAGTGTTGTTGCAGACACATACCTTGGCTCAGTTCTTCTTATAGAAATAATACACATTGTAGAAAACTTGGAACATATAAAGGAGTTTGAAAAAGAAGACAAAATCACCCACACTCCCCGAACTGGAGTAACCCTTCCTAACAAGGGTGTGTATCCGACTGTAAGCGTGTATGGGCCTATACTTAAAAACAGACACCTCAGAGAAAGACAAACACTGCATGATATCACTTATATGTGGAATCTAAAAAATACAACAAACTAGTGAATATAACAAAAAAGAAGCAGACCCACAGATATAGCAAACAAACTAGTGATTACCAGGGGGAAGGGTATTAAAATTTTTTTTAGATTTTGGGACTTCCCTGGTGGTCCTAGTGGTTAAGACTTGGCGCTTCCACTGCAGGGGGTGAAGGTTCAATCCCTGAACTAAGATCCTGCATGTAGCGCGGTATGGCCAAAAAAAAAAAAAAAAAATTATATATATATATATATATATATATATATAATTTTTTAATGTTTTAAATAAAAAATATGAATAAAATAAAAACATATAGGAAAGGACAAAAAAAAAACCCCAGAGACCTTTCTGGGACCATGCCACATGAATATACATACAGACACATAGCTCTGTGGTCTGTCTTTCCACCTATAACCAGCCCAGGCTGTTAAAAGCAGTAAAACGACTTTTATTTTTCATTTTCGTCACACGGTATCGGTATGGCTTGCAGGATCTCAGTTGCCAACCAGGGATTGAACCCGGGCCACGGGCAGTGCCGAGTCCTAACCACTAGACCACCAGGGAACTCCCTAAAACGACTTTTAAACGGCTGAAGAATATTCCTCAGGGGGAGGTGCCCTAACGCACCAGGCCTCTGTTATTGAACATTTACTTTGTTTTCAGAGGTTTTGTAATTGCCAGTTGCATCGATGACTATTCTTGGGCTCCAATCTCTGCCTGCGACTCAGTATTTCCTTAGGCAGGTGTCCCAGGGGTGGAATTACAGATTAAAGAGGTATGGATGTAAGCACTAGAGATTGAGATTGACAAACCATCTTCGGGAAGGTTTTCAGTTGTTTCTCAGTCAGCTAACCCCACTCTGCCCCACCCCATCCAACCCGCCAGGGGATAATGAACCTGTAGAGCTATAGATTCGAGCAGGACAGAGGATGCCAGACAGCGATTTCAAAGTTTTGTGTTCTTTTTTTTAAACCATGGAGACTGCCCTGCAGAAAAAGGGTGTCCCAATGAGGCAGCTCTCCTTAGGCCCAAGGCTCTACTCTGGGCTTCACTTGGCCTCCAAGGAGCAGAAACAGATAAGTCCTGGTGACAGCTGGAGCGACAGCTTAGCAGACCCAACTGCTTTGCTGCCTGCCTGCCTGCCCACCCAGGCCAGTGGCTCGTGGAAGAGGGGCCCTGTGCTGGGGTTGGCCCAGGGATGAGAGCTCCAAAGAGTGCCTATTCTGGGGACACGTAGGTGTGAGGGCCCCACAGGCTTGGTTCTCTGCCAGGAACACAGTCTGCCCTGCAAATGGCTGTACCTGGAAGGGTCAGCTGGGAGGGCAGCAGCACACTAGCAGGAGCCCTCCCCACCCCCACCCCCCCCCCCCCCCCCCCCGGCCCCCCCGGTTTCTGTTCAGCTATGTAAAAAATGCAGAGCCTGGAAAAGCCTTGGGGAGATAGCAGGGTATCTGGAATGTAAACATTTCCCAGGAAAAGGAGGGCAGGGCTCCTGACTCGGTGTGGGACGAGCTTCCCCAGGAGCCCCCACTAGGCCTTGGCTGGCCCCAGGCTGCTGGGGCCTCGGGAAGTCAGAGGCCCGAGCTCCAGAGAAGGTTCCTGGGATGACAGCATTCTCCCATCATCCCCAGCAGCCGCAGCTCAGGATCACAGTGTCTGGAATTTGGAGGACTCTGGGGGAAACACCCAGCAGGAGCCTGGTGGCCAGTATAGCAGCCACAAGCCATGTGTAGATCCTGAGCACTTGCAATGTGGCAAGTGCCACAAAGGAACTGAACTTTTAATTTTATTTAATTTCTATTAACTTAAATTCAAGGATGGACCCTTAACTCAGTAATTAGAAAACTTCCCAGGTATGTTCTTGGGTTCCAAAGGAACAGGGGCTGGAGTCAGGCAGACCAAAGCTTTGAATCTCCTCTTTCAACTGTAAATCTTCCAAACTCTAAACATAGATCACATATTCCTAAAGAAAATTTAATGGCCAAATTGAGATGTGCTGTAAGTAAAAAATGTACCTTTGTATTAACAACAACAACAAAATACTAAGAAAAAAATCTAATATCTATTGACTACATGTTGAAACAATAATATTTTGGATATATTGGATTAAACAGAATATGTTATCAAAATAATGTTACTTGTTTAAAAAATTTTATAATGCGCTTCTACAACATTTTAAATTACATATGTCTCATATTATATTCCTATGGGACCGAGGTGCTACCCTAGACATTTTTACCTCGGGCATCAGCAGGAAAGTCAAGCCAAAGAGAAAACAGTCTGCAGCTTTTTGTCAGGTGCTCAGGCCACACGTTATCCTATCAACTCGCTGGCAGGAAGTTCTCCTAACATCTCCCCTGAGTCATACCTGCTGCGGATCAGCTCTTTTCCCTAACCCAGAGGGAGACAAAGGTCAGGCCCATCGTTCAGTCACTCATACTCATTCCTCATTTCTTCAGGGTCCTGAGGACACTGTGCCACCCCTCACTCCCGAACCACCTTCTTTTCCATAGGCTGGTTTAGAAAGAACAGGAACTGAGTCAGGCCCACGAAACTTAGAATCCCCAATACCACTTAAAAGGTGACAGGACGAGCTGCTTTGCCTCATTTCACGGTAAACGGGATGATGCGAATGACTGCGCTGAGCGGGGCTGTCCTTGGCTCCAACAAGACGAGCCTCAGGACAACCACCTGACCGCCGCTGGAGGGCTCAGCTGGCCTCAAGGCGCACACAAACCTTGCCTTCCTTCAAAGGTTCTCCCTCATGCCTTCCTTCAAAGGTTCTCCCTCATGCCTTCCTTCAAAGGTTCTCCCTCATCAGGGGTGGAATTACAGATTAAAGAGGTATGGATGTAAGCACTAGAGATTGAGATTGACAAACCATCTTCGGGAAGGTTTTCAGTTGTTTCTCAGTCAGCTAACCCCACTCTGCCCCACCCCATCCAACCCGCCAGGGGATAATGAACCTGTAGAGCTATAGATTCGAGCAGGACAGAGGATGCCAGACAGCGATTTCAAAGTTTTGTGTTCTTTTTTTTAAACCATGGAGACTGCCCTGCAGAAAAAGGGTGTCCCAATGAGGCAGCTCTCCTTAGGCCCAAGGCTCTACTCTGGGCTTCACTTGGCCTCCAAGGAGCAGAAACAGATAAGTCCTGGTGACAGCTGGAGCGACAGCTTAGCAGACCCAACTGCTTTGCTGCCTGCCTGCCTGCCCACCCAGGCCAGTGGCTCGTGGAAGAGGGGCCCTGTGCTGGGGTTGGCCCAGGGATGAGAGCTCCAAAGAGTGCCTATTCTGGGGACACGTAGGTGTGAGGGCCCCACAGGCTTGGTTCTCTGCCAGGAACACAGTCTGCCCTGCAAATGGCTGTACCTGGAAGGGTCAGCTGGGAGGGCAGCAGCACACTAGCAGGAGCCCTCCCCACCCCCACCCCCACCCCCCACCCCCCGGGCCCCCCAGGTTTCTGTTCAGCTATGTAAAAAATGCAGAGCCTGGAAAAGCCTTGGGGAGATAGCAGGGTATCTGGAATGTAAACATTTCCCAGGAAAAGGAGGGCAGGGCTCCTGACTCGGTGTGGGACGAGCTTCCCCAGGAGCCCCCACTAGGCCTTGGCTGGCCCCAGGCTGCTGGGGCCTCGGGAAGTCAGAGGCCCGAGCTCCAGAGAAGGTTCCTGGGATGACAGCATTCTCCCATCATCCCCAGCAGCCGCAGCTCAGGATCACAGTGTCTGGAATTTGGAGGACTCTGGGGGAAACACCCAGCAGGAGCCTGGTGGCCAGTATAACAGCCACAAGCCGTGTGTAGATCCTGAGCACTTGCAATGTGGCAAGTGCCACAAAGGAACTGAACTTTTAATTTTATTTAATTTCTATTAACTTAAATTCAAGGATGGACCCTTAACTCAGTAATTAGAAAACTTCCCAGGTATGTTCTTGGGTTCCAAAGGAACAGGGGCTGGAGTCAGGCAGACCAAAGCTTTGAATCTCCTCTTTCAACTGTAAATCTTCCAAACTCTAAACATAGATCACATATTCCTAAAGAAAATTTAATGGCCAAATTGAGATGTGCTGTAAGTAAAAAATGTACCTTTGTATTAACAACAACAACAAAATACTAAGAAAAAAATCTAATATCTATTGACTACATGTTGAAACAATAATATTTTGGATATATTGGATTAAACAGAATATGTTATCAAAATAATGTTAC